AATGAAGTGGTACTAGCAGATTTGGTATTTGTTGGACATTCGTCGAAAATCCGAATACATAACTCTTGAAATAGTTTTAGAAACCAAATCATTGTTCTTCCTCACTACTGCAGTCGAGGATGAGGAGTAAATTAAAAAGCCAATCAATCAGAATGAAGAGCATATCGGCAACAAGATGTCGTTTGTAGTTTCGTCCTTCAGTTACTTTTCTGGGTGTTCAACTTGAACTCTGGTCTATCATCAGCTTCTTTGGAGGCTTTCAACTTGATTTTGAGGGTTCCTTGCACTAGACAGTGAATGGTCTGAACCTACATCTGCTCCCCTTCTTTATCTGATCTTGTGTCCACTAGGCTGACTGCGTCTCCACTTTCTTCACATAGAGATGAAGTCAATCTGATTTTTAGTGTAGTGTAGTGTGTCCATCTGGTGAAATCAAATACATGTCGTTTTGTGAATATCCTTGTATTTGTACACACTGCCTCCAATCACCAAATCGTTGAATGCTCAGAAGTCTGCAAACAGTTCTCCAGTTCTCTCGTTCATTTCACAAACGAGTGCCTCTCGACCCATGATCACTTCTCTTCCTGTGTTGTCCGCTCCCAGTTTGGCATTCATGTCACCCCACCCATTAGAATTTCGATGTCGCCAACTCGGATAGGGTCTTGTCCAGTAGTGATTGCAGTTGTCTGTAGAATTCCTCCTTCTTCTTTTGATCTGCATTATTTGTAGGTGCGCAGCCCAGTATATTGTATGACTGTGATTTTCCTTCCTTTTGATTTGAATCTTGTTGTCATGATCCTGCAGGAGGAGATTGGTTCCCACTGCATGACAGTCCTCGATGCTCTTCGAGGGGACATCATGATAGCCACTCCAAAACTCGGTGTGCTCGTGGTTGTCGTCTGGGTGACAATATCGGAGTAGGTTATTGACTCTCCAGTTGACAGTTTGGAGAGTCCACTTCCATTCCATCTGCTTTCGCAGATTCCTAGCACTTCTATGCCTTATTTTCTCATATCTTTTGCAATCTGGGTAGCCTTGTTAGCCAGCTTCAAACATTGTGCAGACATTCCATGTCCCAATTCTTCCTTTCACTTTCATCGAGGGAAGCAGAGACACATCGGCCGATTGGCTTCCCGAAGGCTTTCACCAACTGGTGTGATTTCGTCTCTCCGAATCCAGCGAGGAATAAGTTTAATTTAATTTTTTGTATTTCCTTTGTGCTTTGAAGTTTCTTTAGCGATTGAATTGGTTTTACGGGTTAGGGTTGCTCGCCCTATGCCCAACCTTACCTTTTCATCCGGACTTAACATCAGCCAGTAAATAGTGAACTAGTTACCCAGGCGAAGTTTTATAAGTGAAAAGAGACCCTATTCAGAGTTTACAGTACCATTGATGGACAGAGAATAATTAGTACATTTAAGGAGGCAGGAGCCAAAGCCACCAGTGGTGGATCATACGAAATGTGACCGACGTGTGGGAAAAGAGCGCGAACTAGAGCAAGAAGGTTGTTTCTGATGTCTATTGCAGGTTTATTAGAAACATTAATCAGTAAGGAACAGACATCAAAACTCGCCATTATTCATCGCCATCAATATAGGTTGTCATGATGCTGTACGTGAATTCATAAGAATTCTTCACTTCGTATTTTAATCCTTTTCAACAGCTGTTACTCTCCGTATTAAAGATGAATTTGACATTAGTATCAGATACTGACCGACCTAGATACTCACTGTTCATTGAATTCGAGTGAGATTTTAAAAAAATTAGAATTATATACGATTGGACTCCGACCCAGTGGCTCAATGGTAACATGCTCGCCACGAAACCTGAAGGTCCTAGGGTTGGATATCCCTGAAGGAGTCATAGGTGTGCACTGCTGAGAAGTCTCATATTAGTAGGAAATAGCTGTCCCTTGCTTCCAGGTTTCCAATCCTAATTGATGTCAGTTCATGATGAACATCAACCTGAAATCAATAAAATCTTCACAAGCCTTCAAACTGAATTACGTTTACGATCAAAATATTTTTACATTTAGAGATTTATATAGGGAAACAGAAGCCATTACGACAGGATTTCCGATATCCCTAATAATTGCTAATTCGCTCATGAATCTTTGGCTAGAAACTAATGTAATGATGAAATGCTTTGTTACTCCCAGAATATGATTGAGATACATGGATGATACGTTTGTTATCGTTAAGTGCAATAACTCCGATGAACTTTTCAGACACAAAAACAGACCGTCGAAACATATCACATTTTCCAAAGAGATTGAATCCGATGTCAACCAATTTGCTGTTCTAGGATGTGTGTTCAAAAGACAGCAGAACAGCAACAAAATGAAGATAAATATAGTCAGAAAGCCAACACATTCGGATAGATATCTGGGTTATTATTCGGCGCATACCTTAACCACTGAATTGACGGTTGCTAAGAATCTCGTCAACAGAGCTAATCGTCTGGTAACAGTGGAAGAAAAAAAAGATAATGAGTTACGGTGGATTCGATTTACACTTAAAGCAAATAACTATTCTGATAGGTTCGCTATTAGAATCTTGAAAAATGAAGTGAAGAATAGTTCGAGATGTCCTTCGAAGAAATGGATCAACACTGGTGATTCCATTTCGCAAATAGACATCGGAAATCAGAAGAATTCTCAACAAACATAACACAAAGGCTTATTTCCATACGATAAATAATCTACGTTCTCCTTCGATGAAGGTAAAGCACGTAATACCGACAAAAATCAACAGAATTGTACCGATGAAATAAATTGCTCAGATTGTGATGCAGTGTATGTTGGAGAATTTAAGGGTGAAGGAACATAGACAATGACTAAAAAACATTCCAAAGACCTCAGCACACATTCGTAGATTGTAGATCAGATCAGTGGTAGCACTACATTCAATAGAAAAGGAACACAAGATTGATTTCGATGGAACGAAAGAACTACAAAAAGATTTTATGTCGTATGCATAGAGACTGACTCCCGACGCCTTACATATATGGGCTAATCCCAAAGGCTTTTCGGCGAGACAGAGTGCAGCTGGTTGTTCTATGACAAATAGTGGTTCAGAAATAGACGTGAAGAAAGTCAAACAAACACTAATATAGTTCACGTAAATTACCAGTAATGTCCCCTCTTATCGTATTCCTATTTGCAGTAATTTGTCATCATCATCCAACTCATCATCTACAATAAACAATACGCTATCAGTTGTATCCATGTTTCTCATTATCATCACGATTATTACTATTTGTTTATTATGTAGCCTTTAAGAAACAATGACAAAACAGAAAAAGTCTAGTCTTATCAACAACAGTCCATTCTGTTTTTATACATAGACAAAAATGACTCATTTTGTGCCACATGCTAACAATTTATATACATATTTATACAATATATATCATAAAGTTGGTCTTGGTAATATCCCTGAGGAAGCTCGAACCAAACTCCCGTGTGTAACGTGGGAATTCCTTATTACAAACACGCTGAGATTCAACCAAATACAACTTATATGAAATGTCAACTTTTCACTCAGCGCCTAGTGTTTGTGGAACTATCTGTTCAATTTTGACCAGGATTCATATAATACGACTATGGTCAACAAATATATAACTGGTAATTTGTAAGAGATAGATAATTCTGTTTGGCGGCTTAAACCTTGACAAATGCGAAGGACATAGAACGTATGATTTCAGACTGGTCGTTGAAGACTTGCATTCCAGCAAGAAAGTTAACATAGAACTCGAATAAAAAACAGAATATATAGATCATAAGGAAATTTAACTCAAGATATATCTATGCATCTGGAGGTTTGTGGAAACTTATTAATTAATTTTAGATTGGAATTCATCATGGCGGGGTCATGGGTGCGCACAGCTGAGGAGTCCCACACTAAGATAAAACAGCTATCCAGTCCTCCCACGTTCTGAACGTTTGTCCGACTAATGTCAGTTCATGATGAAATCCAACCTAAAATATATCTATGTATTTCTTAGGTCAAAACTTCGTCAAAGTGTCTCGTTATTAAACTTTGATGCGAAAAGACGCCAACAGAGGACAATAGACATATTCGCTTTGTAATTGTTGGGATATTTTACGTTCACTTTTGCTTTCATAGCACTGGCAGTATGTTGTGAAACCCTCACATAGACAATGCAACAGTCAGGCATAGAGTCTTAAATAAACGACAGGTATGTTATCTGAGACGATTGTAAACCTTTTTCAATTTAGCTGTCTGGAGGATGTTTTACGCATGCCACCGTCATCGTTTACAGCGACGTGCGACGTGAGCCAGACTAGGCATGAAGTGGTAGACAGTCAAAGGTGATCCATGAAGTCTCTGGACGTTATTAGGAGTTTTGTAGACAAATGTGAACTTTCTGGTGAATGTCGGCTTGACAACGGAAATCGAAGGTTAGAAACTTTAGGTGATATGTCTCAGAATCATTCATAGAGGTGCAGATGTATCCGCACCTTACCTTCACCATAGAATCTATCGTCTCTTCAATTATGGGTGGCGTATTACAAAGTTTAATCATAGTATATGTTCTTCGTCTTGTTGGTTTGCCTCTTCATGTGGTTATGTGGGGCGTGGCAACTTGTACCTCGGCAAAGTAAGACCAGATCTCGCGTAGATGCTAACTGACTGATGACTAGTCACTTGCGTGTGTGCGCGTTTGGGCAGATGGGTGTTTGTTTCCAGTCAAACATCGAAACGTAACTCAGCAATTATAGGAATATTTATGCAGTCAGAAATGAGACACTTATTACCAGTTATCTTGGCCTTGATAGACAAAATGGCGGTAGGAATAATAACCCACTACCCTAGAGTCGATGACATAGATTGATAAAAAATATCAATTGACCAATACAATTATCCAAAATGCCATGAACATAACTTTTATTTCACTTGAGTAGGTAAATTGAAGATGTGGCAAATTCTAAACGGAAAGCCTACGATGTGTTATGCTCCAGTATATAGTTGAATAAATACCTGGTCTAAATCTCCTGTTTCAAATAATTCATCAATGGACTGAAATAGACAGATCCAACGATCTGTTTCACGAAGAGCATCTGCAGCTGACTGAGCATTTTTTCGAGTTTTGTCAAGATCAACCAGTGAGTTAACGATACTTTGACTTTTAGTATCCATCTGTAGAAAAAATAGTAATGAGAGACAAATACTTTAAGGTCAACCAGTATTATTATTAAAGTGAACTGTGAAATAAAATTTAAGTTATCTTAATATAACAGTTGACATACTCAAGGAAAATTTATAACAGGTGAAAATTCCACATTCATGTTCGTTAGACAATTTAAAATGACCTTGGTTCCATTAACTGACCATTATTTAAGCAGATTGTAGTTCACATCAAAACAAAGACCTAGATCTGTGACATTCGAAATACGTACAGCCGCTAAATTTCATCACGAACTACGATTTTCTATTTACTTAAATCATCATTCCATCGCATAGAGTTACTGAACCTTAATAATACGTCAATGGAGACTCCAACTGTTGGTCTAAGTCCTTTTGGGAGATGTAGACTGCCTGATTGGGGTTCCCGAGAAGAAAAGAATAAGTGGTTGAAAACTATTGATGAGATGGCTAGAAATTAGCCACAATGGCGCAGATGCACTCACTCACTGTCATCTTTTAAAGCCTGGAAATTCACAGTAACGTTTATCTTCAGATTCTTTATTGTCTCACATAAATTTATCTACACAAGGATAGAAACAAGTTCTAAGCCTCTATTATATCGCCACATAACGAAGGAATACCAGAAACTTTACGTAGGATCCTCAACAAAGCTACAATTAGAGTGACATTTAAACCTGCAAACTAACTCAAAGATAAGCTTTGTCAGCTGGCTTAAGGATCCGACAGAACCAATTAAACAAAATAATCTAATCTATCAAATTCCATGTAATGACTATGAGTACGGTCAAACTGGCCGATCCAGGTCAGTCAGATAAACGGAACGTAGAAACTCAGCTAAATATAGAATGACATAACTGACCCGACAAAGATCAATAATCTTGAGGAAAACTCGACTATAGGAATTCATGCACTAACACACAACCACACAATAGGATGGGTGGGATAAAACCACTGAACTCAAGTCAAATATAGTCAGATGGAGAGAGAGAGGTTGATAACTGAATCGTCAAATCAGCCAACAACACTCATACCAGAGATATGGAAAACTTTACTACCAATAAAAACAAAGAATATAAGGTGGGTGACAGGACTATAAAATCAGATACCGAAAGGAGTGTGATAACATTGATATTATTATTATTATTTGTCCCTTGGGTTCCTAGTGGAGCATAGGGCTTCAGTTCCACGTCGCCATTTCACTCTCTTCTCTGCAGTCGTTTTAACACTGCTCCATGACTGCCGAAAAGCTTTCATTTCTTCCTCGCACCATCTCCTCCATATCACCCTCAGACGCCCAACTCGTCGTGTCCCATTTAGCTCCAAAAACCGAGAGACTGGCCTGGCGCGTGATGTTCCCAAATGGCCTTTCGGTGTATCCCCAATCCAATCCATTTCCACTTTCCTCTACATATTTGTTGGGCTGTGGGTTGTTCGTTGCCAGCCAGCCAGAGTTCCTTGTTGCTTATTCCTTCTGGCCATCTGATCTGATCTTCAGTATCGAGTGAGAGTAGGCGGCAGCTGTTGATGAATATCTGTATTTTGTTGGAAATGCTTTCTGTAACGCGCCAAGTCTCTCAACCATCACACAGAAGTACTGACTTGACTGACTTAGTGTTGAAAATCCGGATGTTGTTCTTTATACTGAGTGGAGTGAATCTCCACACTAGTTTCAGATTCATGATGGTCTGTCTTGCTTTGACGTCCTCATCTGTGCCTGTGCCACCTGTAGTTGAAACGATGCTGCCTAGATAGGTGTAGGTGAAAGAGACTACTTCTTTTGGGTTTCTCCTATTCACGGTGATCGGCGCTTGTCGTTGACATTGTTGTTGGTCGGGTATCTTCTCTACGTTCACTTGAAGTCCCGTCTTCGCTGCCCTACCTCTTCTGTCAACTTGTTAGTTTTGCCTGTACATCTTCGAGTTTGTGCCACAAGACATTAGACATAAATCATCATCGTTGGCGAAATCCAAATCTTCTAGGCTCTTTTCATCGGTCAAACAGCGTATGCCCATATTCTCACAGCTCCTCACAGTTTGTTGCATGATCCAGTCCAGTCGAGTCGACCACAATCAGGAAGATCATCGGTGATAGTAGGCGGCAGCCTTGTCTTACTCCCATCTTCACTTCAAAGGCATCATTGAACTTTCCATTGTGAATCAGTTGACATGTAGCATCCTCACATAGCATACAGCTGTTGAATGAGGTTGATAAAGGTTTGTAGCATTAAACCCGTAGTGTTGAAGCAGCTGTCTAACTACTTCTCGGTCAACGCTGTCCAGGGTCTTTTCAAAACCGATGAGGTTGAGGTAGAGATTCAGTTGACTGCCATTCTATTCTCTGTTCTATGATGATGCTTAGCGTAGCATTGTAATTTGATACGCATACGATTTGTTCTTCCTGAAGCCAGCCAGCCAGCCAGCCTGTTCCGGTGATAATTTTCAATCCAGAGCATTTTTTAATCTCTCCAGGATGATGTAGTTTAATATTTTGCTCGCTTTGGGTGGACAGGAGCATGATTCCACGCCAGTTTTTGCAAAGACTTAGGTCGCCCCTCTTTGGAGGTTTGATAAGGTAGCCCTTCTTCCAACCGGCAGGTATCTTTTCTTCACGGGAAACCTCAAAGCTTATCTCTCAACAGAGCTTGTGTATTCACATCTAATATAACAGCGAGAAGCTACAATGATCAATAAGTTATGGCTAATTGCCGCTGTACATGAGGCAGCAGTTTTTTCTCAGTGGCTTAAGATATAATGTTTGACTTTCTGAACTGTAGGTAGTGAGCTCATATCTCGATGGGAACATTTGCACCCAATGAAAGCTATATAAATCCAGCTGACGATTCCGTAAGGCAAGGGTGGTCAAACTCTGGGAGCCTTTTCATGTCTTCTACTTTACATGCAAATGTTTCAGTCATATAGTAGAAGAGAGCGCACTGCAGCACAGTACACTCGACTATTAACAGACAATCGGATATCATGGCGGCGCCATAACCGGAATAAGTTAGCAAAGTCAACCAAGCCTTTTGTTTCTATGAAAAGATCTCGTCGACCACTAACCAGCGTATCAAGGTTGATCCGACGTCACAGGTAAGTGACGTTTTCAACGCCTTCAACCCTTACACTCTCTACTGTTAGACAGGGTACCATTGAAGACCAGTTCAGGAGCAACCATTTGCATTTGAGTGGTGAGAAACGCATCCCTAACATTCTCAAGTTGCCACTCAATGTATCCAGAAGACTCTGCATCCTCTCCGCATATTCACTTAACAAGACTATATCATCCGCATATTCCAGGTCTACAAAAAATTCTCTTATGATTAGGTCAACATCCGTGTAGTCAGATGACGAGAGAGGAATCTCCATAATAATATCTACGATAAAATTAGATAGGAATGGAGAGATTGAGCATCATTGACGGACAACAGTCAATGTAAACAGCTTACCCAATATCTCACCGTAAGCTCTAACACTGTCCATAGGTGTTCGAGTAAGGAGCCTTCAACAAGGTGATGTACTTACTCAGTATCCCTTTCAGTGAGACATTGTCATAAGACTTCTCGATCAACAGAGTCAAATGCCGCCTTCAGGTCGAGAAATACAGCCATTTTAAGGCGTCAGTAAGCGTGCCTGTATTCCAGAACCTGGCAAAGTGTTAACATTTGGTCGATACACCCACGGCCAAGGCTGAAGCTTGCTTGGTTTTCTCTGGCTTGCGGTTCCCGAGCTCCACACAGGCGTCGAAGAGTTGTGGAACCTAGGATCTTAGACACTATGTTCGTCAGGCTGATTCCTCTGTGGTTATCACAAGACTTCTCGCCTATCTTGAAGACTGGGATAATCATTGATTCAGATCAGTCAGAGAGGATTATATTTGACTCCCATACACGAGTTTAAACTTCGGTGAACTTGATTAAAATCACTCTACCATTGTCCTTATATACCTTAAAAACTAGTCCGTCTGGTCCTGTTTCCCTAACACATTTCAAGTGACCTACCGGTTTCTCGACTTCTGCAACTGTTAAGCGGCTTATCTCAATGTTCCAATCAATGCCCGACTAAATAGCAGTCAACGCAATAGTAGCTGCAGGTCAGTTAAAGTGTTTCTCAAATTGTTCCACTCATCGAACCAGTCGTCTCCCTGCGAGTGAATCGCAGATTCATCCTTCTCCGTTGAACTTTTCGCTTCAGTTTCCTCAATAAGTCAAAAACGTTGTCTACAATGACCTGTCACCACTGACGTTCCATTTCATTAGCCTTCTAGTGGATTTGACCCAGCAAAATGCAACTTTAATTTTTCTTCCTCAGGCTGTATCCATTCACTACGCCTGACCATCAAGCAGTTGATTTGCAAAGTTTACACTAGACTCATAGCCGCGAAAATGGCATGCGTAACATCATCCATAAACTTAGGTCAATCTAACTGTAGTATTGTATACATTGTAGAATACACTTGCTGCAACTTCGATTTTTACTCTGTTAACATATTTGAATTTATAATTGTAGAACCCGATGAAGTGGAGGTATTTGAAAAGAATATTCTTCGTTCATATCTAGCTTTGAACAGAGTAAATATAGTTAGTTGAAGTTATTTATGCACAACCAGGTAGTTTAGGCAGGTATCTAACCTATTAAATATATTAGGTTACAAAAGAGAGTGGATATTCATCTTAAATCTACTATATCGATTTGGACAAGTAGGTCGGTGGGCGTAATTATCTACATCCTCTGTAAGATGAAGCTCTAACAAATTGACAGAATAAACTTGCTCATTTTTACCTAACTTAAAGTTTCCTCTCTGTTTTTCTTTCCATCTCCTTCGACTGTTCACCTAACTCTATCTCTCATATCTCAGTGAAATCACACAAATATGCGCAGTAAACAAATAACCAGTACTCACTTGAAGATTGTTATGCTGTAGTGTTTTCACATCACAATCCAATGTAAGTACATCGGTTTTCACTGATTCAATTTCACGTAGGACACTAGATTTTGAAGAATAACAAAGATCAAATAATATAATTTTTAGGATGAATGAAGATTTTAATTTTGAGGTAGTATCCATCATGGACTAATATCAGTACTGCATAGTGCTCATTAGTAATATGCTCCCACATGGATATCACGAAGTCCTAGTAAGAAGCCATGACCTGTTGGGTCGACTAGTCAGAAGGGGAAAAAAAGCCAGCAGAAGACCTTGGATGATAGTCGCGCTATTTCGCGAATTGGAAGAAGTTGGAACCTGTGAACCGCTGAACTCCGACCCAGTGAGCGAATGATTATGTGAAACCTGAAGGTCTTGATTGTGATCCCCAGCCCGGTGGTGGGTGAGTACTGCTAGGGAGTCCTATACTAGGACGAAACAGCTGTCCAGTGCTCCCAAGTTTTTAGTGGTTCCCCAACTGATCTCAGTCCTTGAAGAATACTACCTTGAAATAATAATAATAATGGTGATAATAATAATACAATATGAGAATTTACGGGATTGGTTGGTTTTCTAGTAGTATTCATCACCAAGTGACACCAGTTCCAGAACCATTTAAAGCTTGGGATAACTAAACAGCTGTTTCTCGTGAGAATTTGTAGCCCACCGGTGGAGCTAAAACCAATTCGAATATGAGGACAAATACTCAACAATGGCATTGAGTGATGGTCACGCTATATAACGAATTGAAAGAAGTAGGAAAACGCAAATGATTGCCATGAGAAATAACAGTCCCAATGGGGTCATAAGTGCACAGTGTCGAGAAGTAAATTAGGGCGTTACAGCTGTTCAGTTCTCTCAGGTTACCAGTGGAGGCATAACTATCGATTGACCAGGTATCCAAACATTTTAATCATGTGTCATTATTGCTAAATAAGAATTAAACAAAAATATGCACACCATATTGACAAGTGAATAAGTGATCCGGTGCATAGAATTGCTTACACCTGCTATAAATAATTTTTCATTGAATATTCAAGGATAACCGGTACAAAAAATAAAGACTTCATGATTATTAGGATTCGTTTTGTCATTGATCAAACTGAACAAACTGCTCATAAAATATACATCATCCAACTGAAAACTAACCCCCGTTGAGTATAAACACACTCATTCTCCCCTCAGATTACAGATATCGGACTCGATCCTAAGTAACATCGTCAATGAGTATTACATGGGTGTTTTGAAACATAATCAGTTAATTATTAAATGCAACTTGGTTATCAATCCAGTAGATGATGCGAAATTATTATGAAATCAATCAGATTATGATTGAATCACCCCCTCGGTATTTCGACTTATACATCAATCTCCATCAACATCACTAAGGAGTTCAAACTTGAATTCTTAGATTGTACAGCAGATAGCAATATAATGTTGTAGTCCACTTGCTGGCTAGCAGTGGGATCTACGATGCACGTTTCGTCCGAATCGAGACGCATCAGCTGGATTTGCCTGCAGTTAGTGGGCGGGACTCGAACACAGTGCCCAAGATAAACATAACTTTCGGTTTACAGTAAAAACTAGCATGATAACGAAATACCCTCTGATGTAAGGATAATTAACATATCAATTAGTTTGAATTTAGTCAAATGAATCTGTAATAAAACATCCACTTACCGTGGGATAGAGGAAATAGCCTCTTGACAGATATGACCCAGAGTTTGCATCACATCCTGCATGAGGATAGAGAAAGCAAAAATTAATTAAGCCAATAACGTAATATCAACCAAGTAAATGAGTTGTGAAAATAAATAGTCAGCGGAAAATGTTGACTAGTTTGTTTAAGAAAGTTTGATTTCTTGATCGGTTTCCAAAGCACAAATAAAAAATGACATTTGAGAATTTTAGGAGACATTGTTCAAAATTGACAGATAGGAGTGGTACGGATGTAATGATATGATGTGTGCCAGCTATGAACAATAAACAAGTAGTTGTCAGATTCCATGTTGCCCTGGTATCCAGTCATGAAAAAGGCAAAACAGGTAAGTAATGACTTTTGTCTGATAACAGTTGAACAGTAGAATCCAGAATGTGTATTGCGTGTTTATCAATCGCATTATCTCAGTGGTAATATTATCACGAACCAAGCACCACTAATCAGACAAGCTTGATAAGTAGTATACAATTCTAACTAAAAAATAATATTTTTAAAAGTAGCATTCATCATGGACTGACAGTTGAAGAACCATTTAAAACCTGGGGGCACTGGACAACCGTTTTGTCCTAGTACGTGACTACTCACCAGTACGCACCTACGACCTCTAAATAAATTACTGTATAGTGTTCATCAGTGACATGCTTCTACATGGATATCACGAAGTCCTAATGGGAAGCCATTACCTGTGTGGTCAACCACTCGGAAGGGAAGCAGATGTCAACTGAAGACTTTGAGTGATAGTTGCGCAATATCGAGAACTGACAGAAGTTGACTGAATGGTTAGCGCATTCGCCATGAAATCCGAAGGTCCTGAGTTCGATCCCTAGCCGGGTGGTGGGTGCGAAGTCCACAATAAAACGAAATAGCTGCGAAATGATCCTAGGTTATCAATGGTTTTCCAACTGATGTCAGTCCGTGATGAAGGCTATTTAAAACAAATTCCCTTAAACCTCAAAATAGAATATATTTTTTTACCTAATGAAACATAATGATAGATAAATTTAGATACTTTGGTGATACCAACAAAGAATATTAGTATCTCGCTTCGTAACATTTTAAAAGGATCCAGTAATTTTTATGGTATACATGATTGGGTCTTGAATTTTAATGGAAGCGAATGGATGCTTGATACTTCCAGGCTGCCCATACCACGGGAGGCTATTTCTTATTTAGGTACCGGAAAAGGAAGGTTTAATGTGTGACCGCAAAACTCATGGAATATCTGATAGAGCCCGGTCACATACGGCTTCTCTGCAAGTCTCAGATTTTAGTTTGTTGCCTTGGAATATAGTTGTGAACCTAAGTCTCCGGTATAGGAATGGCGCGGGGTTGTAGGAGTTCGTTATTTTTAGGGCCAACATTTTTTAACCTTTGCTTTCTCACCAGGAAAGCAGTATCAGTCTGGCACCGCTGGTCATTCAAGACAAACACTTTACAAGCTGTCACACTCCCAGACACCCAACAGTACAACTTCGCCCCCGGACCCTCATTATAGTGTAGCAATTTACACTACAACGGTAACTGCTTTTCGTCGTACCATTATTCAAGAGACCTTTTTAGTATGCTGAAACGTCGAGGAAGCGAGTTTACCACCATCATAGCTCATCCAGTCATGGTGAAATACAAGCCTGATTACCACGTAAAGGTAGAAACTACCAATTGGGGTGTTGGGAGTCAGTCGGGAGGAAATCCTGATTGGATTTATTTTCCTACATGTTGCTATTTATTAACAAGACATATATCTGCAACCAATATGAAACTAGTGTTTCTTCAGTAATTCAAACCTGCGAAAGTGAGTTCCGAGGTCAAACACTATCAGACTTCGACCAAACACTCAAAACTAGACAGCTTCATCGGTTCGTATACAAAACTCAGTGTCATCTGAGAGTCCTATGCGAAATGTTTGAGTGTTTCGAATGTATATCCTACCAGTGGGACGAAAAATAATGCTTCGAAACTAACTCTAACCCTAAAGAAAAAGATGATTGACTATTCAATAGATTACTGATTTGATTCGGTCTGACAAGTTGATGACTGACTTGGACTAGATATGGAACAGCGCAGCGATATTAGAATGCTTATCAAAACATCTCTATGACTATTAACCAGTGGGCCACGGATCCAAACCCAGCTCCATCTACTGGATTTAGGAAGTCATCTAGTACTGTGATAGATATAAGTTGAAAGTAATCGGCAGGAAGCCTTTGCACAATACGTGTAGCTCACCGTCTACTGCACGAAAGTGCATAAGTTTTCTTGATTTCTAAATTCTTTGACTATAAGACATAACGATAAAAGAAGAAAGAAGATTACAAGTAGTTGGAAATGAGTTTATCAACCACAGCGATTAAAATACCTGCTGGGTTAATCAAGTGATTACCCACATTTGTTTACCATCACAGAATCCACCGCATACATCAGGCATTTGTCAACTTCACATGATCGAAGTCATTATCGCTCATTTTCACCTACCTAATTTTTCAACATTTAACAGTTTCACTCCATACATTACAAACTACTCTTCTTGTTACGCTATGAACAACGTGACTCTAAATATTCTCGCATGATAATTGTTAACATCTGACCATATTACAAAATACATTACTTCAACTTGGGAGTTTGTGGAGGTATATTGATTTCAAATCGTTATTCACCATGAAATGACATCATTTGGAGGAACATTGGATTCTGGGAGTACTGGACAACTGTTTCGTCCTAATACAAGACTCCTCAGTTGTGTTCTCCCATGACTCCGCAAAGAATCGGACCCAGGACCTTCAGGTTCCGCAGCCAGTATGTTACCACTGAGCCACTGGGTTGGAATCCAGTGGCTCATATTTCCACGTTCTATCAGTTAACGACATAATGCGACCAACACCCAATGTCAACATTGGGTATTTGTCCTCACGGCCACCAGGTTTGCAACACTAGTCAGGATTTCTCATTCGAACTGCAGGAATCATGTGTTGAAACTAGTCACCAATGAGCCCTAGATTATTTCGATTTTGGGGTTTGTGGGGATTTTATTGATCTCAAGTTGGTATTCATCGTGGACTGACATCAGTTGGAGGAAGACTGTAAACCTGAGAGCACTGAACGGCAGCTGTTTTCTCCTACTATGGAAGTCCTCAGCACTGGCACCCACGACTTGCCAGGGATTGAACTCAGGACCTTCAGGTTCCGTGACCGGTACGTTACTGTTGAGCTACTAGGATCAAATAGCAGTTCAGTGCTCCTAGTTTTCTAATGTTTTCCAACTGATGTCAGTCCATGATAAGTACCGGCTTGAAAACACTACGTCACTTCTCTTTTCATTCGTTATGGGATCAATGAGATGATTAATATAGGGATAGAGAGAAAAGACTAGTCTGTAGACGGATCAAACAAAATGTATTTATCACGTCTAGCGTTAGATAGACAAACAGATGATCGATCAGCCAATCATTAGTGTGATTTTAAACGGCCAACTATATGCACATATTAGATATATTTTTCTTTCTCCTGGCTTTCGGTCTGTCGGCCCCAATACACGTTTTACACGTTCATCATGTCTTTTCCATTAGTTATTCAGGTCAGGAATCAACTAGGAATTGGTTGAATGTGGGTGGTTGACAGTCAATATCCATGCATTGTTAGTGGCCAATGAAGTGTTTTCGAACCGTAACAACGATATATATATAAAAATGATCAGTATGGTTACTGCTGAAATATACACAAAGCCCGTCTATTCATTAATTTGCATCTTGATTTCTTGAGTTATTACTATGTTCAAGACGATATTAAAAAACTCAATTAATATTAGCCAACAAAACACTGGTTAGCTGATCTTTAAACACTATTTATTAGAGCCTGTATGTAATGGTGTACACTTGAAGACAGGTGGCAGGTAGTAATTGGAGAGACAAACACGCCTTTTCGTAGAATCCGCCAATTTATTGTTTCAATGTTGTAAACCATTATCTGCGCCGTTATAAAATGTATATGTTGATCCGACTATAAAATGCAATTACAGAGAAATAATACTCCTTTCAGGGCTAACCGTTCTCTATACACCCATATAACCCGAAAAAGTTCGATTATAATTGTGATAGATAGGAACCGTCAAATTTTTGATTTACTTGACAAGTGTGAACTACTTAAATAGGCCAAATCAGTAGTTAGCAGGTATGGTAGGAATTAAGAGAATTTACAAAAAGTACGCCGAGTAATAACGATAAGAATAAGGGTATCAGGAGTAGCGGCAATAGCAGCAGCAGGAGTAACAAATAAATCAACAAATATTCGATGACTACTTTGCAAGGAGTTACAAATTCCAAGCGAAACCATTAAGGAGAAACATATGGACAGTCATATGCTACAGAGAATTACCTTCATTTGCGTTTGAAGTTGTAACACAAGATCAGATGCTTTTTGCTAGGAATAGAAAGAAAAAGAAATGAATTCATTCTATAGAGACTAGGATGCGAAATTTATACACATGACAGAGATGAAGCTGCCTTTCATCTACTACCAACAATTTATTGAATTTAAAGCAATTGATCTTGGTTTCAACAGTGGTGTTTCAGGGAACATAAATAACATATTAAATGCTGTCTTAATAAGATATGTCCAGCTGCTAGGTTAATTGCACCTTACCAAACGAATTGCTCCCCGAAAAACAGTCAAATATAGATAAACCGCTCTTCATGCTACCTCCAACTCCGTTTAGCAGTTCACATGCATATCCCAAAGCACATACATTGAAGGAACAGAAATAAGGGTTGGTGACCACATATTTGAGCATATTTCAAGGAATCTGGAATAGAGAACGCTATCGCTCATCATTTTATTGATAGTGAACATGAAGCTGACATCCAAAAATCGTTCAGAAATATTTAATAAACAGATAGACTCGAATTTCTTGCGTTTCGACGAGGAGGTAACTATTAGGCGTTTAAAATCGAACTTATGTGTTTCGAGAAAAAAACTAGTAATCATGGTAGAAAAAACTGGTATTGTTGATAATCATCATGTTTTCTTACACATCATAGTGAATTCTTACACGTATGTTTTTCTGTTTCACTTTCTGGTTTCCACTTTTCGTATTTCTTAGCTAGCGCATATCCTTTGACCTTTTTAATGTGATGAATACATTTGCGGCCCCCCCCCTTCTTACCCAACTTCCATCCTAGAATATTCATCTAATCCTCCCATCTATTGACAAACTTACTGTTTAATAAGAGTAAAACTTAATTACAGTTGCAGATTGTAATTCCTAGGTGCATTTCACACACCGAAAGAGTATTATTTAGTCTATTAGTTCTTTGATACTCATTCATCTATTCAATTTACGTGTGCTGAATTACACCATATCGATATGATCGTTAATTCAAACCGATAATTTTCCATTAAAATGGTTTCAGTAAGCAAACATTTGCATCAATTGATGTTAAGATTGTTTTAATTTGGAGGTTTATGCGGATTATACTTCTTTCAATTTGGTATTCGTCATAGACTAAGATCAGTCGCAGAACCATTGAAAAACTAAATGTACTGGACAGTTGATTCGTCCAGGTGTGGGACTATTGAAAAGTGGGTACTTGTGATCCCGTCAGGAGTCGAGTCCAGGAATTTCAGGTAGTAAGTAGCTGATTAGGAACCCCGAAATAAAACAGATTCATGCCATTTTGCTAGAGCTGATGTTCTTGCTGTACTTAAATTCAATAATTACTCCCTATCATCAATTATTCATTTATTGTCAGACAGATTTCTTGGAATGCCCAAAGAGAAGTCAATGAAGTTGAGTGTGTGGGTATAAATACTTGCTTACTTGACAGAAAACGCTAATTGTGGATCACTGAATTTCAGCTGACTGACTAAATGAGAACGTGCTCGTCAACAAACACTGGATTAATCAATCAACGAGTCACTGACTCTTACTTCTGAGGAGTCCCAAACTAGGACGAAACAATCAGTTGTCCAATGTTTCACTTTGAAATCAATAAGCTAAATACTACAACTACCTGTTTCCAACATGCAGCTGAAGAAAATAAAATTACAGATAAATAATTAACTCTTCGCCATTTTCACTAACTTACATCCAAATGTTTAGGATCAGAGGATTTCAATGCTTCATTAATCCATTGTATATGATTGAAATCGGTATTAGTAAAACAAGTGAAATCCTGAATTGTATAAGATGGAGAAAAACAAAACATTACAACAGCAGGTTTTTATGTGTATACTGATGGTATAAAAATTTATTACTATGAAACAAAATACTAGAGATTCCAGCAAGATTTAAGCTATCAACCTATCTATCAATACACTTATTCAATAAATTGATCCGACAGTTTTATAGTGTTTAACAATAAATAAGTTGAAGACTTTTTCCAGCTTTCCTTTTGATTTGACATAATTAATCCTCAGCTTTGATGATAACGAAATATTTGAATGGCTGTTGAGAATAAATTCAATAGTATACTCTGACTGACTTGCGAAATCAACGTAGAACCTCACACACAAGTACATTACCCCAAGTTGCCACATTTCACAGTAGTACATAAATGACAAATGGATAGATAAAGAGTGATATCGAAGTAGATGAAGTAGTCTGGGAGAATAAACAATCTGAAGATAAACGTTACTGTGAATTTCCAGGCTTTAGAAGATGACAATGAGTGAGTGCATCTGCGCCATTGTGGCTAATTTCTAGCCATCTCATCAATAGTCCTCAACCACTGATTCCTTTCTTCTCGGGAACCCCAACCAGGCAGTCTACATCTCCCAAAAGGACTTAGACCAACAGTTGGAGTTTTCATCGACTAGTGCCACGTGTTGATTTGGCTACCCTGAACTCTTTTCCATCTTAATCTAACTTCCCCCACCATGTCACACAGAGGTAGGTGGTGGCTTGGCATGCGCAGGATATTTCCAAGCCATTTTAGTGGACTAAGGTTCACAACCTCACCAATCGACTTGTCTGTCTTGCCTAGTACCTTTCGCCTGACTTCATTGCTCATACGGTGATTCCACCACTGGCGAGCAATGCTACGCAGACATCTATGATGGAAACCCGGCAACCGCTTCCATATCGTCTACTTCAGCCAGCCACGTCTCATAGCCGTTGCATATAAATATCAAAATAAAGCCTGAACCATTGCTAAGATAAAGTGAAACTATTCGGTGAGCAAAGCTGGAGTCAAGTATACTGTATAGCATCAACAATGTCTCAAGCAGATACTGTCAAACTTTGGTTCATTGGATAAATCACTCAGAATTTTTCCAATGGGTCACTAGTTCGAACTCCATTCACTTATTGAGAATTACTTAGTCAAGTAATAAAACAGCTCACGCGTCGTACATGTGTTTCACTCTAAAGTATGCGAAAGTGTACATGTTTGTTGACAGATATTTGAAAACATGCTAAGGATTTTAGTTAAAAGAGGGACAAGATATACAGAGCAATCAACTGGTCAAACTTTAAAGGGAGACAGTACGATGCACTTATATCGGTGTGCCTGATTTCGAATAATAAATTCTCGAAGTTTCGACCACAGACATACCTTAGTAATCAATTGAGGTCTATAGTTCTATGTGACTCACCGAGAATTACTTCTTGAATGGATGTGACATATTCAGTTCGATGACTTACCCTTCGGTCAATGAAGATCTTTCTTCAGATACTTTAAACTGCAATGCGTAACATAGGTTAAATATACACCGGTGAATGATCACTCTAATTTTGTTTAGTCCTGAGTGATGATCAGTGTTGATCATTTTTCAACAAAACCACCAAAGTAAGAAACTCACAATCGCACTACACTTTTATAGATGTTAGTTAGTTGGAGACATTCGGTAGGAAGCTGAAGATCCAAATTTCGTGCTTGTCGGCAGTCGTCAACAAGGTGTATCTGCAATATTGCATAGGAGAAATTACAAATTCTAGACCCAGGACTTCCTGCCAATTGTCCGATTCAAATAACAGATATAGAATATTTTCAGAATGATAAATATTTTTTCTTACTTAACTTGAGAATGGACCACTGAAAGATGTCATCGATAACCTGCATATGTATAAACGTTATATTGACGACACTTTCATTGTCCTTGATAAAAACGTTGACAAAACGAGTTGTTAAGAAGATTCAATAACCTACATCCTTTTCTCACTTTCACTTGTAAAGAAGAACAAGAATATGTTCTGCGTTTTTGGATGTCTTATTGATCAGAAGAGAGGACGAGTTACTCAGTAAAAGGGTGGACAGAAAGATCACATCTACACATTTCCTTAGCTTTGCGCCTATTCAATATAAAAGGAACTTAATCAAGTATGTTGCAAACAGAGCTAGAAGGATCTGCTCGGAACATGATACAATATCGTGGTAGAAATGGGTTACCTCCACAGCTTTATCAAGAGACGAATGGACAAAATGAATACGAAATCTGAACAAATGACTGTCCAGAAGTAATTATTCATGAAGCACCAATTTAGAGATGAACTAGGTGAAGTTCTATTCCAGAGTCTGTCTACAGCTATCAGAAGAATTTTCGACACTGCCAGCCTTTGTTTAACATTTTCCAGTCAGCCGATAATTGTTGCTCAGATAAAAGACAAGCTGTCTAGTCCCATCACTTCTATGTACAGTTATCAACTCAAGTGCTCCTGTGGAGAAACTTATATTGGGCGTACAACTAGGCAGCTTAACAAACGTGGTGCTAAGCACCTACCGCTATGGCTGCGAAAGGGTCAAGTGAAGTCCATACGAAGTTCGATCCTGTCGCATTTGGTCGACAGTAGTCATGTAATAGATAAGACTAAGGTGTTCAAAATTATCTATGGCATTCCACAACATCTTCCCAATGGAATTCGCACTCGCATGTTACATACACCTGAGGCTATGGGAATTAGAGAAAACAACCCTAACCTTTGTTAGCAAAAAAAGTTTGTGCAACCCTTATCTCTCGCTTGGCCACAGAAAACTTGGCAAATGACTTTAAAGATAAATTCAAATTTCATCCTTTTCCCTTTCTTCACCCCTTTAGCATGCATGTTTATTTGACTAGACTTTGATTATTTGCAAATTTGATCCCTTAGTATAACGTAACGTTTATTTTTCTAAGTTTTGACCTATATTGATTGTTTAAATGTTTACAGTACTATGCTGTTCCCATTATTATTATCACCATTGAGATTATGATTATTATCATTATTATTATCTCGATATCCAGTATTTGCATGCTACATGTCCTAGTTACCACAGGTTAAAGAACCCACCATGATTGGTTTAATGTTTCATGCGAGAAATTTTATGTATATTACTGTAGGGCCTGATGGATAGCTAATTGAAAACAACATTGTCCGCTTATATGCCTTCCTCTAAGTATTCAGACACCACACATTATTATGGTAATTTACTTGGTTGTGGCTAGCAGATGCCTCAACGATTCCACTGAACGGTACTGTGCTGGATAATGCGGCAACTGCAAACTGAGATTCGCATTATATCAAGACTCTCATCAAAGTAGTCTACAGATCCCCTATGCTCATCATCAACTTGAACTAACTCAATAAAGCTTTCTCCTCTGTCCCCATCTAGGTGCAAACGACCAGTCAGTAGAAAAATCGAAAATTGGGATTCCCTCTAATGTCTACCAATTACAAATAAAAATTTTAATTCACAATTTAGTAATTCATCAAACTGGAAAATATCACATAAGAGAAAAACATCGGTCATCTTGATAAACATTTTATTGAATTTCAACCTGACACTAGAATGGGAGTAATCCTTGATGTACTCCATACAAAAATCATCCAATTCGATTTCAATCACAAAGGTTCGAGAATTTTTTTCTGTTTCTAGTAATTAACAGACAAAACCAATGAACACCCAAAAAATCAACTTCGACAGAACTCAGTCTCACTATGTTAGTTACTGCAACCAGATATTATTACATCCTGAAACAATTAACTACCTTTAGCAGTAGAGAACATTTTTAGCGAGAAAATATATGGAAAAGAAACAAATCTACCGAAGGAATAGATAAGGAATAACAGCAAATAAGTTGTTCGACAAATGAAATTTTTAAGTGACATCTTAACTTTAACAATAACCTTAGTGTTTATCCATCAGATTGACAAACTGGTTCAAATACTTTACTCTCGACTGGATCAGTTTCCTTGTGGTTTATTAACGGTTAACACACACTACAACGAATATTAGTTATTACAATTTGTTGATATCCTTTTAATTCTCCGTTGTCTTACTGGATCGAACTGTTTGACCTCTGTTGAGATATGAGGATGCCTCCATATTCCGAGTACATTTATTAAGATAATTTACTTGGTTACGGCTAGCAAAGGAACCTAGGACATTGTATTCAACAAACAGACTAACGAATTGTTAATCAGACATGACAAATGCTTATCGCATTAAATTGAACATGAGACATGCATTTCACTAGGTAAGGTGTGTTTACAAAGTGTAAGCAGAAATTATAGTGAAAACTAAGCTTAATGCAAATTCATAAACCATTTCATCACTACGCCTACCTGCGATATTGAAAACTGTAAGATATACAGAAGTTGATTAGGGTGATACCAATATGTCTACAAGTCTAAGGTTGAGTAACAGACAACTGCAGTCTCACCCAAGGGAAAAAATTCTCTGGCTGCTGCATATTAACATGTTGATTGGTTTCACTAGTAATTTTACGTACCGAAAATGTTATTTTGCTTGGCGATGCGACGGATCTCTTTTGAAATGGACAAACACAGTTCAAGAGTGTTATATAAGTTTCTTGTATAAAGTATTCCAGCACATTGTTAATTCAGTAGACTACTACTTTTAAGATACAAGACTGATATGACAACGATCTAAATCATGTGTGAACTCAATATTTGGTATAATGACAAAGCAAATTTGCTACAATTTCGCTTCGAAATGCATACTGCATACACCAGTATCTATCAATGTAGTAGTAACCGTAGCAGAGTACGTAGTGCCCTTCAAGATGCTTTTTTCATGAGATAAAAATGGGACAAGAACTTGGACTGAAGCATGAAGCGTATTGAGTAACTTAAAAAACAATATCAGAAAAAAAGTAATCACTCTGATTTCATCTCAGAGATAATGGTTTTACATACGATGTGAAGAAATGAGTAAGCGTTTGACTCACGGAAATAATCAGTCGGCATTTTAATAGTACGTCAAATATGGAAGCCTTTCTTCATCATCCATCAAGATTTCGGATAGCTAGGAAAGATTTGTAGCCTTAGTAACTGACCCCATAAAATGTAGAGTTCATTAGCTTGGTAAGCAGGGATGTATTTGCATGTTAGAGAGTGATGGTGTTCCCCTAGAATCTGAAAGCAGTAGCGACAGCTTCAAACACTAAACGATTATTCATCAGACCATTAAGTCACAAGAGACACCTGTCTTGTGTAAACGGTATCATTTGTTAGCGATTGATGCTTGTCATTTCCCATTGACTGCTATCCTACACTGAATCGATCACTCTCTCTTTATATAAGAACTCCTGTGTGGATGCTTTGGTACTTTTTTAATTTTTATTGCAGTGTAATTCGCTTGGTTATCTTGAATGGTAGAATTCAAAACACGTTTCCTCTCACTTGAGGCTCATCAGATGAATTTATTTTCATCTCAGTATGTGGGAGTGTTCTCATCGATTCAATCGAGTATACTAATCGAAGGGGGATCACAAGGATCAATAAATAACACATGATATTTGTTGGTATGATAGAATAGAGTGTCAATGCAGAGAATAGTTGGCATTATGAAGTGATAATCGATTATCAGGGAACAATTAAGACCTCGTAAACACGATACACAAAATCCTGAGTACAGCTAATCTTTCTCACTAAAAGTTGATTATGATTACTAGTTAAGATATGTAATTCATCGGATTTCTTTTAAAAGAACCCACTCTACAATACCATTTTAATTGATACTGGGTGATGACTGAAGGTGAAATGAAAATTCGGACCACGGTAGGACTCGAAACAGCGACAACTGAATTTCTGGCTCGATGCTCAATCAACTGAGCTCCCTCTCCCTAATTCAGTTAGATTTGGATTGGGATGAGATGTCCTGACTAGGCAGCCAGTATGAGTGCAATCGAGCGACAATAACGAACCACGAATTCACATAGTAGTCGGGCAAAATTCTTGGTGATTCGAATGAAGTAAAAATCTGGTCAGTAGTCGGACCTCGTAGCTCAGTTGATAGAGGATCGGACCGGAAACCCAGTGGTTGCTAGTTCAAATCCTACCGCGGTTCAAATTTTCATTTCACCTTCAATCATCACCTAGTATAAACACTAGCCTGCCACAACACGGCTGTCTCAGGTAGTCAAAATGATAACCCTTTTAGTTATTCTTTATATACGGTTTCATATGCGTTCCAGAAAGAAGAATAGCGGAAGTCCAGTGACTCATAGAACGATAATCATCTAATTCATCCAAGTGAAATAGCCGGTAATGAATCCACAGAAGCATAACTTACGCTTAATTAGAGTTTTGCTGTCGTTTCCTGAAAGATATTAAACACTGTCTCACAGATTTGTGTTTTATGGCATACAGTTCCTTGTGAAGGTTTTTACGAATAAAAAGTTGATATGCCACCTACTGTTTGACTAGTAATTATTGAGCCCAACTCAACTCGGTAAATGTTTTGAACCACACATACTGTATAAGCAGTTATTATACCACGCGAAGTAAGGTGAGTTAGGGCTCTAGTCTGGTATGCATTTAAAATCATAGAGGCCACATATCCGTCGTTGGCTGGCAGTGGAAATCCAAGACAGACGTTACGTCCTGTTCAGGACCTGTCAGATGAGTAAACCTGCATCCTAGTCGACGGTCACATTCGCAATGAGATGAAGTTATGAATCGTCACTTTGAAACAACAAGACATCTCAAGGTCTATTGACTAAATGATCTGCGACTTATATTTGCTAAGATTCCTAACAAGATCGAATAATTCTACTCAGGTTTGATATCAAGTTTCAATACTGCCAAAAAGTATCGTCAACACAACTTTTTCTGCCCACTGTCTAGATTAAAACTCCAAGAAGGAAATTGCATTGTAACTGAATGCAAATTTTACGCAAAAGGGGTTTGGGCGGTGAGGAACGGTAGTCTAGGATGAAGTTATACAGTACATCAAGTAGTTAAGTGCGACATTGTATTACATCTGATAATGAGCCTCTTACCCATCATCTACTTCCGCAGGGTATTATATGTCTTACACCTCTATTTGGAATACTGAAAAACATATGATCAAACCACACAAAAAAAGTTATGGATTATTTCAGAGGAAAAACGCTTGAAACGAATTAAAAAAACGGATTGATCACTTTAACAGTTAGCTAACCAGCGACCAAATTCAACCATTTAGAAATTAAAATAACTAACTACCTATTCAAGGCCTCCTGAACAGACTCAAAGCAAGTAGGGAAATAGTTTCCAAGTACCACTTAGCTTACAATAGCTCTCTAATTGACTTCAGATCAAAGTTATCATTTTCTACACCGATAGAAGTTTAAATAAACCGTGATTAAAATTTGTTCGTATAGTATGGCAAATATTGGGCGCTGGGTAAAAGGTTGGTATTAGATACAGATTGTATTTGTGTAAGTCATAGCGGGTTTGAAATCAAATAACTCCAACGTTTCGTATAGGAGTCTGGTTCGAGCTTCTTCAAGGAAATAATCAAAATTAGAATACCAAGGATATATAAATGAATTTTTTTAAAAACGTATTTAATCTCCTTGTCCAACCCTCTGCGTATTGTCATTGTCTTTCTAAATTATAATAACTAATCATTCAGTGTGAAATTGTATGTCTTTTGTTGTATGGCGTATATATGTTATATGTGTATGTATATATGTACTCCAATTCATATTCGTCTTGATTGTAAATATCAGACAAAAAGGTCACTGGTGACATAGTCATTCGGTAATTTTATCAGTACAAATTGAAATGGATGAGGTGGATGTGTGTACAAATTCAGTTGGAATAAAGCGGTGAATAATGTTAGCGAATCGATTTATCGTAATAGAGTGGAAATGAGTGGTGATTATAATAATAATGAATGAAATCAGTCCAGGTTGTGTTGTTGTTGATGCAGAAATAATGAAGTAGAGACTAGTGTTGACGGTAAATGTTTCGAGTCCCTCTTTCTGCTTACTAATAAGTAATTGCTAAGAGGCAGCTAACTGTATTCCACCTCGTCTGTTCAAACTATCTGGATTCGCCCATATATGTAGGGTCTCGGCTGCCAGTCTTTCTTAGTATGACCCAAAACCTTTTTGTAGAACCTTAGTTCCGTCAAAGACAATTTTGTGTCCCATTTCTATGGAGTGTAACGCGATCGCGGATTTGTTGTCTAGTTTCTTAAACTCTGCTGAGGTTTTTGGGATCTGCTTTAGGTACAGTTTATGCTCATTGAGCCTCACATTTACCTGCCTGGCTGTTTCCTCTACATATACTGCAGTACAATCTCCGCATTTGATTTCATAGACGCAGTTCTGCTGATTTTCTTTAAGTACTACATCTTTAACTTTCATTAAGTAAGAATGTAGGGTATTTGTTGCACGAAAGTAAACTCTTATGTCGTGTTTGTTGAGAATCCTTCTTATTTCTTCTTAAGTCTCCTTTCGGTATGGGATTATGACCATGCCTATCCAATTCTTCGGAGGGAGTTTCGGCACATCCTTAATTTTATTTTAAAAAATACGTATTACGAAACCTTTGGGATAAAAAAACAAAAATTCGCTAACAATAATCACCACTTCATTCCAAATGAATTTGTACACACATCCACCTCATCCATTTCAATTTGTACTGATAAAATTACCGAATGACTATGTCACCAGTGACCTTTTTGTCTGATATTTACAATCAAGACGAATATGAATTGGAGTACATATATACATACACATATAACATATATACGCCATACAACAAAAGACATACAATTTCACACTGAATGATTAGTTATTATAATTTAGAAAGACAATGACAATACGCAGAGGGTTGGACAAGGAGATTAAATACGTTTTTAAAAAAATTCATTTATATATCCTTGGTATTCTAATTTTGATTATTTCCTTGAAGAAGCTCGAACCAGACTCCTATACGAAACGTTGGAGTTATTTGATTTCAAACTCGATAGAAGTAATTTAGACAATGCATAAGAAAATGGCTAGTCATCATCACCGTTTCCCCTGACTGACAAAATGCTACAGCAAACACACACACAGACCAAAACTGACATTTTCAACACACATAAAGAAGAATAAACAACTTATCTATGATTTTTATGAACATAAACATAAGAAAAATGAAACGTGTTGAATACAATTATAGCAAAACTTATGATTATCATCATAAGTATTCCAGATTAAATTTCGATAGGTAATAAAGCGCAACGATGTGAAATATACACAATAGAAAGGCAGTAAGGAAATACTTGAGATAAGTAAACCCATTTCACCATTAATACATGGAGTTTATAAAAAGGTGTATATTCAGTTAATTCCTTCCATTTCTTTCTACGCTGGACTTGTCTTTATACTAATGATGTTGTCTGCTATCTTTCTCTTCATGTCTTTCTCCCCACTTCTTTCGTCATCTTAGACCAAATCAAGTTAACTTAGTAGGTCAAACGTCTGTCTGACCTCTGGGAATTCTCAGTCTCATTGAGGAATAGATTGATTTCTAAACCTCGATTATCAGTTGTAGCCCGACGAATGGTTAACCTCCCGGTGATAATCTCACCTAGAAAAAAAAATGAAGAAAAGTAGAAGAAAGTCAGGATAACTACTTCATTTAACTAAACAACAATGAAGTGAATTGTCGAGACAAGTATCTACGTTTTTGCTAACTTATCTGATAAATTCAGGTTGGTCGTCATCACGGATTGACACAAGTTGGAGTCATGGGTGCGCACTGCTGAGTAGTCCCGTACTAAGACGAAACAGTCGATTAGTGCCCGAGGTTACCAATGGTTTTCCAACTGATCTCAGTCCATGATAAATATCAACTTGAAATCAATAAATCTGATATTTGCAACTAAGACCGACTTATAAAGGCATGGATTGACAAAAATTGCATCTCAATCCGATATATATGTTTACGTACTAGGTTATAACAAACACACAGAGATTGTGAAGGTCGCTAAGGATAACCATTTACTCAGACCGAAAGAGATGAAGCATGATATGAATCCACGACTAGGTGCTAAAGTCATTGGGCCACAACTCTACATAGATATAATTAATTGCCTGCACTGACCTACATCGTCTTGAATTTGATCTGAGCACTACATTGTACATTTTCGAGTGAATTTTGAGCATGAATGTTACTTCCGTCAGAAATTTCGAGTCAAAATGGATAAGTGACACAATGTAACAAAACATGAATAGTCATGACCGTTTCAGAGTGGGTTTTATCACGGAGCTATTGTATTCTATAGAGCACGAGGTCAATCATTTAGTCCTAGTTTACGTCACTTTAGCAATGCGAACTCATGAGAAATAAAGAATAAGAAAGCAACAATAACAAGACTCAAAACGTTTGGGAAAGAATAAAAACGAAAGAGGAATATAATAAAGCTTCAATCTCCAAGAAGCAATCAAAGTAAGCACTCACCACTTTCAAAAAAATAACAGCATGATAGCCACGGCTTTTGACTCCGAGACATGTCAGCTACCTTCTCACCTCCCTGAGGTGCATAATCTCAAGAATCAAGAGTCGTGAGGTATCTACAGATGTTAACCTGACAAAACTATCCTTCATCACACAGTGCCATGTCATCTATCTTTCTGATTCTTTCAAACAGGCCCCGATCACATGTCAAAACCAAGTGTGTATCAAGAGAGACATCAGCTGACCATTTATCTGAGCGTAACACCAACGCTCGTCTTGAGAAAACCTTACGTGATATTACGTCTGCTGTAGAAACAGCGGTAAAGACAGTTGCTGACCTACACCTCAAAGTTTGGGAACCTCATTAAATATCCACCTCATCCGAACTGATTAGAGCGAGAAGAAGGGTTACAGCTAACTCCGGTTATAACGAATACGAAAGCGAACTAAGTCTAAATTAACCGAGTCTTCGTTTCCAACGGTCGCAGGAAATAACAACAGTGAGATTACTTGGATTATCATTGTGTCCAGAATCTAAGGATCTATAGTTATCAAACGCTTAATTGCAGCTCAGGAATAGCAAACTCAAGAAAACCCAGGTAGTTTTTAGCTTTGGACTAGAGTGCATTGGTCATATTTTTACCCCCGACCGGTCCTGGAACACAGGCATACATACAGGTCAATGGCCGACACTTGCCATATTTCTTGCCTATGTCTACTGTAGCGTGTTGTCACAATGTCTGGTTGCGAAGGGACTACTGAGCATGGTTAATGAAAGCTCTCTCTACTCGAACTCATGCAGTCCTGTAAAGGCCTATTAAGAGTTGTCATCCGAATTGATGGAAATTAGTGATGTCTTCTAGGGGTGTCCATCGCTACAGTTCTCGCTTGATTTCAGTATAAATGTGCCAGTGGACGTTAACCTTAAGCGCCTCTGACTTCACAGCGATTTACTATTTGGAGGTCATCTTGTTGACTTGAAGTATGGAGACGAGATTTTTCTGTTAGGTGAAGACGCTAACAAAATGCAGGGTCTTCTGAACGCCTTGAGCAAAAATCGGAGTATGTTTGGGATGGCATATCGCACCTGTCAAGAGTAAGATGATGCTCCATAACCTACTAGTCTCCAACTACTCCCAGTGTAATGATAATAATACTAATTCCGTCTCTTCCCATAAACCTTGGCCTACTTTGATATCCTCTTTATCTACTTTATCCATTCTATCCACTTTATCTTTGAATACTACTGTGAAATGTGGCAACTTGAGGTGATACACTTGTGTGCAACGTTCTGCGTTGCTTTTGTCTGTTTACCTGTTCAAGCCACCGATGGTGGTGTTGCAAAATGACCACATTCAATGAATGACTATCTGTATCACGTGCAAGCACACACTACCTTACCATAAAATTTACTCATATGGTGTCTCTGTCAGATGCGAGGTATTCTGCAGAGACAACAGTGATCGGACATATAGCGTCAATGGATATTCTCAGCTCAGACAAGATGAGTTCCAAAGGCATAGAGCAGAACGATATGCACCGATATGTTATGTACTTGACCTTTTGCAGCCAGGATGAAATCACAACAGTGACAAAGGTGGTCCAGGTATACTGTTAAAATTGTACTAGTCACATCACAAGCACTAACACAAGTACCTGAATACACAAAGTTTCTGACAACTTCTAATGACCGACTAGCAAGAACGAGCGCGAATCCAGACTCCTGTCAATCTTGTAGAAACACTTTTGTGGAGTGAACCACACACCCTGCTTTCGGATGCTGATCGTTAACTAACTGAATGCGATATGAGTAGCCCGTATTTCAACGCACAGTAAAACGATATATTCTGCATACTCGATGTTCAAGTCTTTTACCAGGTGACAAGTACAGACCACCACCAAATAGTACGTGGGCACCCACATCGAACAAAATTCAAAACGCACTCAGCAACCTGGTGCATATTTGTGAAGTAGGCAACAGAACCACGCCTATTTTTCTATGGCTAATGATACCAACTTTCTGCCCCGGTGCTCGAATCCTCGACCCAATGGTTGAAAGTAAACTTCCAAAACCAATGAGCCACAGCTTAAAGAATGCCATCGACGGCAGAGTTAGAAAGGAATGACAAGATTGAAAAGCTCGGTCTAACCCCCGCTTTGATTGTGGAACAATGAAAAGTGGTTGTGTACTGTAACCCTACTTCAGGTGTTGCAGTATATACCCTTCAACAGGTGAATAACTTTTCAGAGATACCCTTCTCTAACAGACAACCCTGACCGGCGAATCAAAAGCAGCCTTGATGAAGAGAAGTATAACCTATCGTTGACCTGCAACGTGTGACGGTGTTCAAGTGAACACGTGATCAACACATCCACAAGCCGAAAAAAAATTCCGCGTGCTCCCAATGTCACAGGCTTTTTTTACTGTTTACAAAAAGACGAAAGATGACACGATACAACGTATGTCGAAAAAAATGATGATAGGAAGCAACCGAAATCGAAATTAGAATTCAAAGTCATCAGCCGCCAAGGTAGAAGTCTTGGATTGCAATCTTGGTTTTATGTGGGCAGAAAAACCTTATTCGACAATGTTGTCCATCAGCTGACTAATTAAGTACCCAACTTGTGACCTAATGGCTTCATTTTCTAAGGAAAAACTATATATAAATGATGCCATTTTTATCAAATAAAGTTCTCTTTTTTTAAATCACAGGCCAGTCTTTGTCATCCGATTTTCGTGGCTAAGTGATGTATCAGGTCTGCGGAAGAACGTTTGTTACTCGTTTTCAGTCGGAGAATCTCATTGAAGTTCATAAAGCACATCCTTCTTTTTGAAACTAACTTCCTAAATACGTTCACTCGGAGAGTATACCGAACAAATCACATGGGAAGATGGACAATTAACCTTTTTGTCAAATGTGATATCTTCACAAACCAGTTGACAGCATGTTAACACATTGACTATCCGTTCATTCAACAAGAACAAAAGGAAGAAACATGGCGCAATATTTGCTAGAGCTAGAACTGTAGTTGATCATAATGATAATGGTGTTGATGGAATGTAGAGGTTCTTGAAAATTCGCTTTAAGGAAGAAAAAAGCTTAATTTAACCAGCTAAGAGTTGGTGAATAGATCTGTTAAGAGTGTTGATTGTAAACACATTCATTTTTTTTTAAATGATTGCCTTTGATAGATTATCGGTTAACAAGATAGGGGAAAACGTACTCGGATTATTGAAATAAAAACCTACCTGACTTGACAGTAATCGGTTTGTCCAAAAATAATAATGTCTGTTTCCAATGCGTCAAAGGAGCTGTTGGTGATGTGGAGAATTCAATCTACAAAAAATTGAAACAAACATTAGACGACCAGCGAATTGTCTTGTTATATGGCTGTGACACATGGCCGTTAAAAGTAGAAAACACGAAGCGGATACAGTGTTTCGATCACACACATCTTCGAAGCATTGCTCGCGTTTGATGGAATCACCATGGGGGGAATGTTGAGGTCAGGTGATGGATATTAGGCTAAATAAGCAAGTGGCTTGATGAGGTTTTCAACCTTCATCAGCTTAAACAGCTTGGATATGTACTGCGGATGTCCAGCCACAGTCTATCTCGACGTATCATGCTAAGGGAAGTTGCATTAGGTTGGATGCGGGTTTAGGCTAGCCAAACCAACAAGTGACACCAGTCGACCAAGTCCTAGACTGTTGGTCTGAACCATGTTGGGGTTCGCAAGATGATATGAATGAGTGGTTGAGAACTCATAGCTGAAAATCAGTCACGATTGCATAGATGTATACACTCCTCGACGCCTTTCAAACCTGGAGTTTTCTCATTGATCTTAGTATTTAAAATCAGTCTCCTCCCATACAGCTTAGTCTACTTTGATATCAGTCTTTTCAATCCGCTTTTTCTTTGTATACTACTTGAGGTGATGCACTTGTGTGCGAGGTTCTACTTTGATTTTGTCTGTCTGTCTCTGTATTAGCAAGATTCGCAGTTCATAGTGAGTGATATGAAGAGGTGTAGATGTAATCCAATTGTAATATTCCACCGTAGTTTCTTGTGAAACCAACTCTTTATACATATTGCTAGTAACAGAAAGAAAATAGAAGTCAAATGTGATTACAACAATTGTACGAGTAGATTCACTTCTTTATGCATGAAAAATGAATCAAAACTTTTGCCTTCGTTTAGGTGATACAAATACATTTACTTTTCATGTTGATTTAAACCATCTTCTAGGAAATTCATACACCATTTATAGCTGTTCCCATTTCACTACAATTGTTACTATTTTTTTCCGTACGTATGGTAGGGGTTTGCACTATCCAAGTACAATGTACTTCCACAAGAATGACAGGAGCCTGTGTCTGCGCTCATTCTCAGTGGTGACCCGTTGGAATTAGTCAAAAAGTTCGTGAATCTGGGTAGTTGTGTGAGTGCTAGTGGAGGTATGAGTGGTGACGTTTCCAAGCGCATATCGAAAGCCAGAGTAGCATACGTCAATCCGCGTCACCTTTGGAGTCATCGCGACTTCAGTCTGACTACAAAGGGTCAGGTTTACAACGCTTCAATGTGAACAGTTATATAGGTCACATGATAAAGTTGTAAACTTAAATCAACTGAAGCAGCTGGGTTGTGTTACATATGTCGACCAGCAATCAATCTATTGCAACAAACTACCTTATATAAAGTAGGGGTGTATGTAAGCAAGAAGCTAAGGGTGGTAAAATTAAAACTTTGCATCAGTTTATGAGGTCTCTAGGAACTTAAACTTTTAGATATAGATTCATGTGATGATTGACCTCAATGGTTACCGACTTTAGGTGGTATGATATGGCTCAAGACCGATCTCAGTGACATAGATGCATCAACATATCAGGTTCACTGAAACCGTAACGTCAGATTTTACTCCCAGTCCCATACTAGGACGAAACAGTTGTCCAACGCTCCCAGGTTTTCAATGGTTCTCTAACTGGTGTCACTCCGTGATGAATACTACCTCTAAATTACGTTTCAGGTTTTTAAAGGTTCTCTGATATTCTCTTCATAAAATTATCGACTGTGAATCTGGTAAAACACAATATCTAGTTAACAACATCAACCAATTTAGCTTTGAACCAACACTTCCCTCCTTCTTACTCACTGCATTGGTTAGATGACAAAAATTCTAAAACTGAGTCTTTTTTCCTCTGGATAAAGGTGGTGAAAGTTTTCAGTGAGATATCCTGGAAGGTTTTTTTTGACAAGGTATTACAAATCTTGCTCTTAAGATCCTGTACGAATTTGGATCTCATGTGGTATAAAATGCTCGAACCACTGACTAACTCCTCAAAGATAATGACCTCAATCCTCAATTTGTTTACGACTGATGTTGATGATTCGGTATGCAGTTTGGTGGTAAATGGGAAGCTTTTTCATAAACAGAAGTAGTTCACATGAATACAGCGACTTGGAGGATTAGAAACGGAAGTGATATGACTTTACGCATTCAACATAAAAAGTGAATCGAGAAACTTCTAAGCATATTCTTCACTCTGTCGTCACCAAATGATCGAATAGGTGTTTCTTAAGAAATTTCATGCACTGATTCCGCTTTATGAATTTGAAGAAAGCAAGCACAACAACTGAAGTAGTTCGGGCGTTGTAATAATGAGTAAGAATGATTATGTCGTTGAGATAAACTCGATTCTCTAAGATCTACTGAAATTCAGAATTATTAATTGACAAAAAGATTTAGGTTATGTAACAGAAAGGTGAACTACAAAGATGCTGAAACAACTTCCGATCAAGAAAGAAACTGATCTTTCTGAATCTAATGCTCTGAAGTCTCGAGGGTTTTGACTATCCTGTATGTATGGATAACCAAAGATGCAAAAGTAAAGTAACCCCCTGAGACCTATGTTATCCTAAATTAGTTCACCCTAATACAGAGTGATCTGTTAGTTGACTGAAAAGTTAGAGTGCTTTTGTCGCTCTTAAAGACTGGTGCCAATTTGCTGAAAACTTGAATTATACTGATGCTTCATGGTGCCGTACCTCTTCAAGAAACTATAGATACTATATGCCGGAATCTCGACCTCTCTATACCACGAAGGGAATTAGAACATCTTCTACCAGAGTGTACCAAGGATGTTCAGTTGCAGCCTAAGAACAAACCTTATCATCAAATTGATGACGTAGAGCCATGAGGAGTCCACTACGACTAAAATTGGCGAATATCAAGCTTAAACGTGCAACCGATAAAATGCTACTTTACACGAGACAGTTAAGCAACACCTTTATGATATTTGCAATGAAATGCTCCAATTTTTTCCCCTGCTTTTCTCTAACCTATAATAGGTGCATTCAGAAGAAAACAACGGGGAATGCAGCTTGTCTTGCTCACCTTAGTATCTGCATTATCATCGAAACGTACGTCGAAGTAGCCAACAATAGCATCTAATTTGAAGTTATCATCATCAGTAGCAGCAGTGGTTGTTGTTTCAAGTGTCGGTTGAATAAGTAGGCTGAAATTTTGTTCATATAATATAGAACAATGATTCGATAAGTGATAAACACGCTTTTTATGCATATCTTGTAGATCTAAACTGATTAATTCATAGGATTGAGGAGTTAAAATTGTTATCGGTGATTTTGATGGTGAGGATGATGGCGATAATGACATCTGCTGTTCATTAGTTAAATTCAATATATGCGCTTCACTCAAAGCTGCACGACGTAATGCTGGCATATTATAACCATAGACATTATTCCAATGTTCTAATCGACGTTCACGTAATTTATCCGAACATTGTACACCTAACAGATGAAGAGTATAGTGACGTGGAAATATATGGCCATTTGGTGATAGATATTTTGATGCAATATCTAGTACAGAGTCGAGCATTGATTCAAAGAGTAGAAAATATCCCATCCACTCGGAGATAATCACATCGACCTGTAAAAACATATTAAAAATAAATCAGGTAAGCAGGTAAACTCTATCATCTTGAAAGCTTAGAAACATATGCATATAGTTATCATTCTGACAATCAAAGTGAGCTAGCCGTGGTTTGGCAGACTAGTATTGATACTGGGAGATGATTGAATGTGAAATGAAAATTTGGACCGTGGCTGCATTAGAAGCACCGAACACTAGCCCGATGCTCTACTAACTGAGGTACGAGGTAGAGCATTGGGATGGAAACCCGCTGGTCGGTGGTTTACATTTTCGTTTCGCCTTCAATCATCAGGATGTCATCAAAACGTGCATAACTCAAGAATTCACTAGACAAGCAAAAAAGCTAAGTATACTAATGAAATCTCTAATTCATAGACTTATCACGTTTTGATTTGAAAAGCAAGTCGTGTCTACACCCAAGAGCCACAGTATCTTATATATATATATATATATATATATATATATATATATATATATATATATATATATATATATATATATATATATGCAAAAACTAACTATTCGGTGGGTTTGCGAACCACCACCGTAGTTCGAAAAAGAATGATACTCAATGAAAGTTCAAATTATTTTTGATCAGAAGACTTAATAGTTGAAGGTTGACGCCGATTAAAAGCTGCTACCTTGACGTGGTGGTCGGACTTGCATATCACAATGACCCAACCAGCTATGCTTGTGGAACACTTGTTCCCTCGAGGTCTTACCATACTAGAAAGGTTTGTTGGATAGTAGTTAGGCGAAACGCAGTTACCCTTATGGTGTAAATTGCTACACTATGATGGAGGGTCTGAGGGCGAAGTCATACTGCTGCTAGCTGGATGTGGTGTAACAACAGTAAGGTATTTCCCTTAGGTAACCAGCAGTGTCATGCTGATGCTGCCTTCTCGGTGGAAGGGAGGATTAGAAAGGGTCGTCCCCAAAATAACGCACTCCACCACGCCCCACTGTCTGCCGGGCCGGCGGTGTTGGTTCATTTACCGTTTCTTTCCGACCATCCGGCCCCTAAATAACAAAAGTTCAAAACAACCATGCACAAAAGGCTGAGTGTGACAGGCCTCAAGCAGATGTCCGATGGGCTCTGCAGTCACACAAATCTCTTCCAGGCACCTTAAGAAGAAATAACCTTCCACGCTGTGGGCAGCCGGGAAGTGTCAACCGTCCTCACAACTCTATCAGCACTCAAGTTTCTTCAGACTGCTATCCACCTCCTTCATCATTACCTTCTAATCTTCCCTCACGTCTGTCAACTAACGATGCTACATCATCTTTAATTTCTCCTAGCTTTGTAGCCTTCAGCAACAATCTGAGTCCACAAAACAACATCCCTGGTCTCCTTAAACTACGCTCCAAATTACATATTGCAGCCTTCAATGTCCGCACCCTCCGTCAAATTGGTCAACAGGCTTCGTTGGCAAAGACTCCAGCAACTCGGGCCGTCGATGTGTGCTGTGTCTATGAGACACGCATACAGGACCCAAGTGCGGTTATTCACCTAACCTCTCCTGACCAATCTAGTGAATCCGCAAAATTAACCCTTCGAGTTTCTGGAGATTCGATAGCTAGCTCTTGGGGTCTTGCAGGCGTAGGCATAGCATTAAGCACTAGGGCAGAAAACTCACCACTAGACTGAATCCCAGTTGATAGTCGCCTCTGTGCTATGCAACTGAGTGACACCGTGAGAACTAAAAAGAATAGTGAAACTCGCCGCTGTCTCTTTGTAATCTCTGCTTACGCGCCCACTGACTGCAGTTCGGATGCAGTGAAGGACGAGTCCTACCGAGAACTGTCTAGCCTCATTTCGAAAGCCAAACGCTCAGACAAGGTAGTTGTTGCAGATGATTTCAATGCACAGGTGGGTAGACTGAGTGAGGCAGAAAGGCACTTAATCCCGGCTGAACGAACAGATAACGGTGATTGCCTACTACAACTGTGCTCAGATAACCGCTTATTTTTAGTTAGCACAAATTCCAGACATAAAGACACTGTCTAACGTGGCGTCCACCGAGTTCAACTCAGCGATGGACACAGACAAACCACATTGCTATTAGTCATCGCTGGAGAGGATCGGTGGAGGACTGCCGCTCCTTCGGGAGTACGTATTTGGGCAGCGACCACGCGTTGGCCCGAGGGTGTGTATATGCCTGTGTCTCAATGGACGTTGGAAAAATTTGGCAACAAAACCACTGCGAGTGCAGCTCGACAAAGAAAACACCAAAGCCGTTTTCAGTGAAAAGTTGGCTAGACAATTATCGGAACAGAAGATTATCACTCATCCAGAAGAAGCTTGGTGCCATCTCCAGTCTGCTGTAAAAGCAACGCTGAAGACCGTAGCCGACTCCGAAAGAGTGGCTAAAAAGAGTCAGTGGACGTATCCCTGCAGGCTCTGAGTACAATGAAGAGTGAGCGCAACTTAAAAGTAGATTGAGAAAACGTCTACGCAACGATCACGAACAGTGGTGGGCAGCAAAGGCTGAAGAGATGGGAAAGGCAGTGGCGATCGGTAATAGTAGACAGTTATTTAGACTTATTAAGGAAACTGGGGGGAAAAGGTCAACTGCGGTTAGTGAGACCATAGCGGAGAAGGACGGATCTGCGATTCACTCGCAAGGGAGATGATTGGAACAATGGGCAGAACACTTCGAGGATCAGTTTAACTGGCCTCCAGCCACCATTGCGTTGCCCGCTATCCAGTCGGATCCTGAATGGGACATAGAGCTAGATCCACCAACACTAGAAGAAGTTGAGAAAGCGGTAGGTAACCTGAAACGAGGAAGAGCAGCAGGACCAGACGGACTACCTGCTGAGGTATACAAAAATGGTGGTGCAGTGCTCTTAGTCAGGTTAATGGAAGTGTTAGCTAGTATATGGGAATTAAATATGATCCCCTCTGACTGGTCTAAGTCACTGATTATCCTAGTCTTCAAGAAAGACGAGAAGTCCTTTTGTGATAACCACAGAGCAATCAGCCTGACGAACATAATGTCTAAGATCCTAGGTTCTATAATTCTCCGACTCCTGAATGGAGCTCGGGAACAGCAAGCCCGAGAAAACCAAGCAGGCTTTAGACCCGGCCGCAGGTGTATCGACCAAATATTCACACTGCGCCAGGTCCTGGAAAATAGGCACGCCTACCGACGCCCGACAATAGCTGTATTTCTCGGCTCCGTTAATCGAGAAGTCTTATGGCAATATCTGTCACCTAAACACGTGCCGAGCAAGTACATCACCTTATTGAAGACTCTCTACTCGAACACTTGTGGGCGTTTTCCAGCCTATGGTGAGATATCCGAGGAGCTGTACTCGTCGAGTGGTGTCCGTCAAGGGTGCCCACTGACTCCATTCCTATTCAATTTCATCATACTTATTTTTATGGAGGTCTCCCTCTCGTCACCAGGTTACACAGACGTTGACCTAATCACAGGAGAATTTCCGTTAGACCTAGAATACACAGATGACCTTATCCTGTTAGGTGACGACGCTGACAAGATGCGGAGTCTTCTGGAGACATTGAGTGGGAATTTGAGAATGTTTGGAATGCGTTTCTCACCACCCAAATGCAAATCGTTGCTCCAGGATTGGTCTTCCACGGTGCCACGGCTAACAATAGAGGGTATAGTGATTGAGTGTGTCGACCACTTCACTTACCTGGGGAGTAGGATCAGCCCCAGTGGGTCAGTTGCCGATGAAATCTCTGCATGGATACAGAAAGCTCGATTGGCTCTCGGCAACTTACACCGCCTGTGGCTCCGCCGTGATATCCGATTGTCTACTAAGGGTCGAGTATACTGTACAGCAGTCCGGTCTGTTCTACTGTATGGCTTTGAAACATGGCCATTGAAGGTGGAAGACATGGGAAGGCTTCGGGTATTTGACCACCGTTGCCTTCGTAGTATAGTATTCTGTGATATCACCACGTGAGTGGAAGTCAGGAGTTAAGTTTTAGGGAGAAGAGGTAAGTCGGTTGACGAGGTTGTGAACATTCATCGACTGAGATGGTTGGGACACGTGCTACGTATGCCTAGTCGCCGATTGCCTCGTCACACAATGTTGGCTGAAGTAGGTCTAGGCTGGAAAAAGGCCCGGGATGGCCAGATTAAAACATGGCACCAATGTATGAAGTCTGTGACTGTTGGTTTGAGCTATGTGGGATGATGCAGACTAGGTGATTGAGGTCCATGAGATAAGAGGAACCAGTGGTTGGAGACTAACTGTAAGTGATACAGCTCAGAACCGATGTCAGTGGCGCAGATGTATTCCCACACACATTATCCTCATCTTAACGACGCTATATTGAATCCCACCACTTTCTCATTCTTCTCGTACTTTATATTTTTTTGATTGCATTCTCTCATCTTCATCCTTTACCTCACTACCTTTTTACTTGATGTACTGATATGTGTGGCAACTCGGACCGTTACGCAGTAATGCCTGGTCCTATGTTAATATTCATGATGATGGAGGTTGACCTCTCTGTTCAATGAACCAAAGTCGTGGTAGCTACAAAACCTTTTGAACTACTCCTATTATTTGTTTACTCGAAAATAGTTTCATAATTTCATGATCAATGACTGGAGGTGAGAAAAAATTCGATTCTCATTAATCCGTCGAAAAATGAAATGAAGTTTCACAAGGAGAGAAAAAAAATACCCCAAAGAGTTTTCTTAACTCATGAAATTTATTAGAAGGAAGTCAACAATCGCTGCAGAATAGCATATTTTCATGGATTCACCTCAGTTGCTATAAACCGATATCACATTGTTGAAAGAAAATTAATAAGTGGTGGATGGAAGCAACAGTAAGTTTCTATGCATCGAAAGCTGCCATCAGTGAGTACTTGCAAGAGAGGACGAGATTGAGGAATTCACACCAACTAGAACATCAAGGTGAACAATTTCCAGACTGACAAGACTGTGATGTGAAATAGGCGAAAAAAAAGAGAAGAAATGCAAACGTGACAAAAGAAGGCTTCAGATGGAGATGTTTTTTTGTTAATGAAGCTGAAATGACCAGGGTAGTGTGAGAGATTGTCATAAAAGTATCTTTTCGAAAACATATATCATGGTCAAGGTGCCATGACAGAGTCGTATCCTATGTTATCTGCAATTGTGTCTACCACTTCATATGCGTATATCAAAGCGCATACATTGGGTTTCTCAATATATCTCAGAGACCTTTAGATTCAGGGGTCCACAAACATTAAAACACGTGATTACTCGTCATGAACAGGAATGTAGCTTTGCTTCCATCTACCATTTTTTAGAATTTCTTCCAAAATTATTATTTCGGTTAATAGCAACTGTGGCGAATGCATGACATGAGGATGAACACATGACATTCTACTGTGACTGTTGGCTTTGTTCTATTGAACTACAAATTGTTACCGTAAGTTCCTGAACACAACTAGATATATTCTAGCCAAATGATTCCAAATAACCTGAGCGAGAACATACAACTGGAAGCGTAGTTTAGGAACTTGCCTTTCATATTAAACTAGTGTATAACGAGGTTGAAATCGCCCTTCACTTTATCTAGGTTTGAGGAGTCAATTAGCATCATGAAACACTACACACAACGCAGTGTACGCACACATGTAGGTGGTTTTTAAGTACATAATGAATCATTCAATGTTTATAAAATTTTAAAGAACTAGCATACCTGTTTAACAGGGAGTTCCACAGATTCTGCTTGACCATGAATGATTGTGATACGTCCGAGTAAATTGTTCACTCTTTAGTAAAATACGAAGTTTGAAACAATTAGTCCCTTTTATGGATTTGGATAATGTAATTAGAAGACGTAGATTATCTGAAAAATGTGATGTATTAGCGCTATACATTACCAAGATTGTCTTCAAGTCTTATCTTTTATTCCTCTCATTATCTTTCTTATTATTGAATTCCTTTATGTCATATGTGTCCTTCCCCCACTTCCAGTTTTCATATATAATGCCTTAATAAGTAAATGTGTGATCACATTGTTCGAAATGTATAGCGCTAATACATCACATTTTTCAGATAATCTACGTCTTCTAATTACATTATCCAAAATACGAAGTATTAAAAACAACAAATCGATTGAACAATGTGGATAAGCGTTGTTTCACGAATTATAAGAGTGAACTATAAAAGTAAACTATTAAAACAGAAATCTCAATCACATTATTGAGTGGAAGACAATACACGAAACAATAGAAACAATCAAATATGCCCTAGTAATCAGCTCCTAAAAGACAGATTAATGTATAAGCTACTGGAGGTGTGGCACATTCGCTTAAACAGTTGCGTCAGTGGTTCGAGACCTGCTCCACCTACCGAGGTGTGAGTAACCAGGCCACATAATTAGTCTAAACATAACAGGTATGGTTCATGGTCTACTGTAGAAACCTGCACACAGTTGCTGAATGCATTTCGATCGACGTAAATTAGCTGAAAAGTGGAACGGTTCAAGATGTTAGACTATGAAGCAGCGTAAAAAGACTGAACAAACAGGAATATAACCATCTTCTAATTCACCTGACGGTGACTAACAATGAAATGGAAGATGGGCAGTTCTTCCTATTACGGATTCGTCAACTAGATGTATCTGCAACTCAATGAGTGACGATGTTCCCACTGGGACTCTGACCTCGATTTATTGTAGAGCAACACATTCAGATCGATACCTTGATTTCGACTCAACACTTCTAGTAAGTGCTGAACTTCCTTTCACCTTAAGTTGCCACACTACACAGTATTACACGAAGAACAGGTGGATAAAAAAGAGTGATAAGTAAGTAGAAACAGTTGTGTGAGAGGATAAACAATCGAAAGACAAAGGCTAGTGCAAATATTTAAGCTTTAGAAGATGTCAAGGAGTGAATACATCTGAGCCATTGTAACCGATTTTCAGCCGTGTCAACAAGACCCCTCAACCACTGACTCCTTTCGTCTCGGAGACCCCAACCAAGCACTCTACAGCCCCCCCCCCCACACACACGGCTCAAACCAACAGTCACAGACTCCATCAACTGGTGCCACGTCTTAGTACGGCCACCCTGAACCCTCTTCCAATCCAATCCAACTCCCCATAGCATGCATGGCACATCGAGGTAGGCTGTAGCTCGGCATGAGCAACACATGTGCAAGACATCTCAATCGACTAAGGTTCACAGCCTCATCAATCGACTTGCCTGTCTGCCCTTCACATGACCTTAACATTGCTCATACGGTGATTCCATCAAACACGAGAGATGCTACGAAGACACTTATGATTAACAACCTGTAACCACTTCATGTCTTCTACTTTCAACGACCATGTCTCACAACTGTATAACAGGACGGAACCGACTGCAGTGCAGTATCCTCGTCCATTGATAGATAGTTGAATATCTCGCCAGTTAGCGCCACAGGTGAGGCAAGTTAGGAAACGCCGAACGGGCCTTCTGTATCCGAGCTGGGATACTGAGTCCTTCCTTTTGAATGTGCTCAGTGTTGGTTCAATAAAAAAAGATTCATTCATCTATCTATCTCTCTACCCAACTAATTCAGTTTTAAAGACTTTCACCCTATCGTATCCTATTGCGTGGTTGTGTCTGACTGTTTGCATAGCTCTAGATTCTTTAGTTTATTACGACGTACCAGTAGTGATTTAGCTACGCTTTCGCGTTCGAACAGCCTAACTACTCCTCGTCGACATGCATTTGACATCACGATCATTGGAAAGAATTTGGCAAACTACATTATTTCGCCTAATTCGATTATTGGATACTTTAACCTGAAAAACTTATTTCTAAGTGAGTTTACAGGCTAATCCTTGCCTTATTCAGGTATCTTCGCAGTGTTCAATTTTTATTTTCTATTCTGACGAGTGAATTTCCGAATTTGTAAATCCCTTTTATCTATTGACTGTTTCATCATCTCGTGGCAAAATAAAAATGTGACGTGATTTTCAATTCCAAAAGATTAGTTAACTGTAGTACAATAACAGTGAATATTAAGTTACTGACCGCTTGATTTGTTATAAATTGGGGTGATTCAATTTGAAAGTTTGTGAGGATTTATTCGCCGATTTCAAGTTGGTATTCATCATGGACTGGCATCAATTAGAGAACTATTGAAAACCAGGCAGCACTGAACAGTTACTCCATCGTAGTATGGGACTCCTGAGCAGTACCCACCTATGATCCTCCCGGGGATAAAAGTCGAGATCTACAGATTTCGCAGGGATAACGTTAACATTGGACCACTAGGTCAGAACCCGACGGTTCACGTTCTCCTACTTCTTTCAGTTCACAGTATAGCGCGACCTCCACCCAAGGCCACTGCTGAGTACCTGTCCTCACCTCCAACTTGGTTTGCCTCACCGGTCACGACTTCTCATCTCGAAGTAGGTGGCTAGTGGCAAGTTGTAACATACGAGCAAACCAAGTCGGACGTGGAGGCAAATACTCAACGACGGTTTTGGATGAAGGTCGCACCATGTCACAAACTGACGGAAGCACGAAGATGTGGGCATCTGGCTTAATTTCAACGTACTCGCCTTGAAACCTGGAGGTCCTGAGTTCGACCCATGGTAAGGTCATGGGTGCGTACTGCTGAGGAGTTGCATATTGGGGTGAAACAGCTGCTCGGTCCTACCAGGTTTACAATGGCTCTCCAAGCGGTATTAATCCGTGACGAATACCAACTTCAAAAATTATGGTATTTAAAGGTTAAGCACTGGTGAGACTACCAAAAATACCTATCTGCTTAAAATTTAATCTTCTCGCTGCTGCTACAAAGAGAGTATATTCCCTTTAACAGGAAATTTTTCGGGGCTCAAACGTCGGCCTATTCGAAGCATCCCGTAATAAGAACGTGGGAAGACGTAAGATGCTTTCAGATAATATGATATCAAGAACGTTTCTTCTGTTTCACTACTCATTTAACTCAAAGAAACAAATTCTGATGAGTTATTTAAAACTCTATGCTGATCAATCAACTGTCCCGACTCCTTCCAGATAGATAAAACAGCAACCAGAAGTGATACAACCATATGTGTCAAGTTCTATACGGCTTCATACCCTCACCCAAATCGGTCGATAAGGTTATGAAGCTTCATCGACTGAGATCGATTGGATACGTACTGCGCATGCTGAGCCACTGTCTATCTTGACTTGTAGTGCTAACAGCATTTGGATAGTGCCAAGAGAAGGCACATGGTGGATAGACCAAGATCTAGTATCAGAGCATGAAGTTTTAAATTGTTTGAAACTATGTAGGAAAGTGTAGAGTACTTGGTTGGAGTCGCTGAGAAAATGGGAATGAATGGTTGACGAGTTTTGGTAACATAGCTGAAAATCGGTGATAATGGCACAGATGTATTCCACTTTTTGATATCTTCAAAAGTTTGAACGTTTTTACTAACCTCCACTTTCGAATTCCTTTTTCCCCCAAACACCTTTGTCTACTTTGACCATCACTCTTTTATCCACCTACATGTTTCTGTGAAGTGATACATTTCTGTGCGAGGTTTTACATCGATTTTGTTTGTCGGTCACACCCTCAAGGTTAGGCATTCTCACACATCGATTGAGAGTTTATTAAAATACACCACTGAACGTTGACAGTACTGAGAGATGACCCAAGACGATCTGCAAGGCTTGAGCAACCAAAGTAGATAGGAATGACCTAACAACTAAAGAACTCGTCTGTATTTTAGTTAGTATAGATGATATTTCGAAGGCTAATTCAACTGAGTGATTGGTGTTGTTCTTTCCGACTACCTCGATATAACACTGAGTGACTCTGAAGACTACCAACAACTGATATAACCGATCAAACTTCTTTACTTTATGAAAATATACCATTTCAGCCAAAACAGAGAAACCTAATTAATTATTACAATTGTTGACAGGGTGGCTTTCAAAGTATCACAACACTTTTGTACTATACGCGATAATCTGTGATATTCCGCTGCATATTACTTAAAGAAAATCCTGTCAGCATCACATTTGATTCATTGAAAAATTACTCAGCACCTTGATATACACGCAAACCCGGCTTATGGATTCTATTGCTAGGCACTATGCATCATCAGTTTCAGACTTATATGGCTGAGAATATTGAGACATTTGCAAAAGAGCTTATATCCCAATAGTGATTGATTAACTTGATCTAATCAATGAGGAGCGACTACAAATTGTAACATAAAGTGATACCCATCCAAGGAGCAGTTATCCTGTCTCAGTAGCCTAGTGAATATCACTGTGGCATTTGAAGAGATGGATGAGTGCTGGATTCAAACTTCAGTGGTGACAACACTGAACCAGGTCTGTCCAGCTGACAAGTGCCAAATTGCAAATAGTTTACCCAAATTACATTTAACTAACTAGATTTTATTTAACTAAGGTTATTTTCAATCTCAGAAGAAACGCATTCATCTTTTCAGTAGGAGAATGAGTAGGAACAATGAAAGGTAGTTTATTGCACATATATATACACACTGCAAAATGCCAGTAATATAATATACTGATACCTCAAAGTTTCATGTGAAGCTGCGAAGATCTCATCAGCAGCCTCTACTCCATAGACATGTGCAGCACCAGCTTGTGAAGCAATCATAGAAAGGATACCTGAACCAGACCCAACATCCAAGATGATTTTATTTTCAAAATACTTTTTAGAATTGGATAAGATAAAGTTCACATAAGAATCAGTACGTATTCGATCATCTACAAAAATTAGAATCAGGGGAATAAACAGAAAAGTAGTGAAATCAACTTAAATAAAGTTGTCACTTAACATAATATGATCATGATAGTTTTTAAATGTTGCTTAAAACGTCATTCAGTAAGCGATACCGGATCAGTATGTGTTATATCAAATAAACTGATCTAAAATGGAACTATACTCTACCACAATGACCAAGTTTGACTCTTATGTTAAAAAAATAGTGTTGAGAAGCCAAAATGTATTGCATAGAATGAACACATGTCTTGTCCTACAAACCGGTGGCGATAGAGTTCAACCTCTCAATAATTTGTGACAACATCCATAGAGCAGTTGGTCTAGGTGAGAAATCTGAGTTAGATAATACACAGTACACATACGCTTGGTAACAAAAGCCTAGCATATTCATAAAAGATGCATTATACAACAACCAAAGAAAAGTGGAGGAATCAGTATGCTCTTCATATGACTCAACAAATAGCATCAACAAAGTTGACAAAAATGCTCTGATTAATTCGAAATCCACTCAGCAACCTTACGAACATTTGTGCAATAAGCAACATCTATTGTCTGAGAGTTAATGATACTACCTGGTTGCTTAGACCTAAGTAAATGAGGCGGGATTCGAACTCATGAACCATGAGTTGAAAATCATCTCAATCTAATTAGTCGAAGGTTATGGTGTAAAATGAAATACTCGGCAAAGAACAACTCTGGTTATAACATGATCAGACGATTGTATATACTTTGTATACATTTCTCGAAAGCTTCAAGAAGTAGAAAAATGTAAATCGAGCTGGAATTAGGGATACTGGTGAACTAGACCAAAGACATCTACTTATATCTTGATATTCAATAACCTATTCCTCATTTCACTTTATTATATCAACTAGTATTGACGTGGAGTTATAGGTCACTGCTCTAAAAAATGCTTCACTTTCTTCTAGTAGAGAGTCAAGGATTCGAACCAAACCCCACCCATGAACATTTGAGCAACCATATTGTATAATATACTCTCACACAAGAAGTACGTCGAATTGACTAATGCACTTGACCACACGTTGTTGATGAGTTATCATATATGTTAGTAGTATTACTTCATTCCAACTGGTAAATTTACTAATCCCTTGATAACCATCTTTGATTTTCACTGTGAATACATTCAGTGATCTTACTGGATTTCTAAATAACTTCAGTGTACATACCCTTACAAAAACCAGGATAAAGAACTACAATATGTGATAGATCGGATTGGATTAATCCAATGGAACCTGACTATTATTATTTATTTATTTATCTATTGGAAACACAAACTTGGTACAACACGGGCACCAAGAGATCCGCCATACACATAATACAAGGACATTAGGAAGACGAAAAAAGGTTGAAGAAAGAGGGCAAACGAACAGAGACAAAAATAGAATCGGTCTGTTAAAAAGGCAATTTCAAGCATACATTCAAAGCAAGCATTCACTACTTTGACTTCACTCTTCAGTAATCAAAGAAACAAGGAAGCTGTAAAACGATCAACAATGGTTTCGATTCTGACCTATGTCTGCTATCATCTAAAGCAAGTGAGTTGCGTGATCTCGGGCTTCATCCAAGGAGTCGAGAGATATAAAAAGATGGCAACCTAACACAGTTAACTATCCTTCATTCAGTGGCTCTACGTGACATACTGATCACCTGGACACTTCACCCCACCAACAACAGGGAAAGCGAACAGCGAGGCCAATGTTTCAAGATGGCTACATTCATTAAATGACGATCAACCATTACGCCCAAATACACACTACCTCACCTCGGAATTATTCACATGATGCATCCATCGGTTGCTACTAATCTCATGGAGACAACAGTGATTAAACCTCTAGAATCGTAGGGAATCCTCAGCTCAGAAAGACTGGGTTTCACAGGTGTATAATGGATCTGCTAACAATGACACATTGTACACCAGACCTCTTGTAGCTAGGCTAACATTGCAGTAGAGATAAAGGTGATCCAGATTGGTACATGGTGCCCTGACTTTCCGCATGCCGTTAACAATCACACGTGGAGCTGTGGCTAAGGTGGTTTGGGGAGATGAGCACCAATCGTCAGGACTGGGTCCGAATCCCGCTTCATCTACCGAGGGTTTGTGCAGCCAGGTAGTATTGCTAGTCCTCATACAATAGGTGTGATTCACTGCCTACTGTATGAATGTGTACAAGGTTGCTAAGTGCACTTCATTCGTAACAATCGCACCAGTCACACCTTGTGTAGTGTGGGTATTTACTAAAATACCCAATCACCAGATCCGTAGGTCGAGTGGAGAACCATATGAAAATTATAGTAATAAGTAACACAAACTGTCACATGCAGACACATATTCACTAGATATAAAACATGATGATCCTACTCGGTTACTTATATCTTGATGGATAAGACAGACTTCGAACATATCACGGGCCTAAACTGTTGACTTTCAAATTTGTGTATCGTCTATCCAACATTTTAAAGAGGATGATGTATACTGACGAATAACTGAAAACTAAAAGGTGCTCAAAAGTTTACAAGTAATCAGCACAAACAAATGTTGTTGAATTTCCATCTAATGAAATCAATCCTTTGACACAGACCAAATGTCTATCAGAGTATTATTTATTTTTATTTTTTATTAGTCCCTTGGGTTCATAGTGGAACATAGGGCTTCAGTAGCACGTCTCCAGTGAACTCTCTTCTCTGAGATCTTTTGAACCTGGTTCCACGACAGCCCAGAAGCTTTCATTTCCTCCTCACACGACCTCCTCCATGTCACCCTCACCTCGGACATCCAACTCGTCGCTTCCCATGGGGATTCCACTCGAGTGACTGGCCTGACGCGTGATGTCCTCAGTCGGCCTTCTCAGTGTATGCCCAATCCATCTCCACTTCCTCCTGCATATTTGTTGCGTGATAGGTTCTTGGTTGGTTCGTTCCCACAGCTCCTTGTTGCTTATTCTTTCTGGCCATCTGATCTTCAGTAGCGAGCATCAGCAGTTGTTGATGAATGTCTGTAGTTTATTGGAAATCCCTTTCGTGACGCGTCAAGTCTCTGAGCCATACAGAAGCACTGACTTGACGTTGGTGTTGAAAATCCGGATCTTGTTCCGCATGCTGAGTGCAGAAGATCTCCACACTGGTTTCAGGCTAATGAATGCCTGTCTTGCTTTTCCGATTCTGACTTTGACATCATCGTCCGTCCCGCCTGTAGTTGAAACAGTGCTTCCTAGATAAGTGAAGGAGGTTACTTCCTTAAAGTTTCTCCCGTTGACGGTGATTGGAGTTTGTTGTTGGTGGTGGTGGTATGGGGTATCTTCATCACCTCTCTCTTCTCTATATTCACTTGAGGTCCCGTCTTCGCTGCCTCGCCGCTTCTGCCAACTTGTTAGTTTTTGCCTGTAGATCTTCAAGTTTGTGTGACATCAGGCACAAGTCATCGGCGAAATCCAAGTCTTCTAGGTTCTTTTCCGCAGTCCAGTGTATCCCTCTCTTCTCGCTCCCCACTGTTTGCTGCATGATCCAGTCCAGTCGAGTCGACCACAATCAGGAATATCATGGGTGATAGTAGGCAGCCTTGTTTTACTCCTGTCTTCACTTCAAAGGCATCACTGAGCTTCCCATTGTGAATTACTTGGCATGTGGCATCTTCATATAGTTGTTGAATGAGGCGGATAAAGGTTTGCGGCACTCCGTAGTAGTGAAGCAGTTTCCAAATTACTTCTCGATCGACGCTGTCAAAGGCCTTCTCAAAGTCGATGAAGTTGAGGTAGAGAGCTGATTGCCATTCTATGCTCTGTTCTATGATGATGCGAAGCGTTGCGATTTGGTCGGCACATGATTTATACTTCCTGAATCCAACCAGCCTGTTCCGGTCGTAGTTTTGAATCTAGTGCATCTTTAAGCCTCTCCAGGATGATATGGCTTAATATTTTACTTGGGGTGGACAGGAGAGTGATTCCGCGCCAGTTCTTGCAAACACTGAGGTCTCCCTTCTTCGGAAGTTTGACAAGGTAACCCTTCTTCCAGTCAATTGACAGGTACCTTCTCTTCCTTACACACCTTCTGCAATGGTGGTGTGGTGTGAGCATGTCTGCTGTTGTCTCTGCGTCTGTTTTCAGTGCTTCTGGCGGAATCCCGTCTGGTCCTGCTGCTTTCCCACATTTCAGTAACTTTATGGCGTTCAGGACTTCCATTTTTGTTGGAGGATTTATGTTCACTTGTAATTCAGCGGCTGCAGGTGGTATTTGTGGACGAAGTGCAGGTGGTGGTCGATTGAAGAGCTTCTTGAAGTGGTCGGCCCATTGTTTCCTTTGTTTCTCTTCTTTCGTAATTAAATTTCCTTCTTCATCTTTTATTGGTTTCATCTGTGTTGGTCTCTTCCCTGATAGCAACCTGGTTATTTGATACAATGTTGTCAGGTTTCTGTCTCTCTTACCTGCAGCCTGTTCTGCTTCACTTGCCAGTGTTTCGTAGTCTTAGGGTTAGGGTGTCTTTTGTCTTTCTGAGCACTCTTCTTCACTTCTTTGTCCCGTGAAGTGTTTTATACATTGTGCTCAGTTCCTCTTGTCGTTGAGCGTCCTTGCACTGGTTTATCTTCTGTTTCACCATCCTCCTCTCCTCCTTTTTCTCTTGCTCTGCATTATTTGTAGGTGCATAGCATTGTATGATTGTGACCTTCCTTCCTTTTGAGTTGAATCTTGCTGTCATGATCCTACAGGAGGAGATTGGTTCCCAACGCATGACAGCCTTCGATGCTCTTCAAGGGGACATCATGATAGCCACTCCAAAACTCGGTGTGCTCGTGGTTGTCGTCTGGGTGACGGGAGTAGATTATTGATTCTCCAGTTGACAGTTTGGAGAGTCCACTTCCATTCCATCTGCTTTCGCAAATCCCAAGTACTTCGATGTGATACCTTCTCATCTCCGAGTATCAAACAAAATTTTCAAAAAATCATCAACTTTTACAACACTTGAAAAAACAAAAAAATAACACAAGACATACAAAAAAGCACTAGCTTACTTATCATTTCTCCGTGTATCTCGAAATGACCATACGATCCAAAATAAGAGGAATCATATGGTTCAATATCTGAAGAATGATCTGGTGATCGACTACTGCTACACGATTTCGTCTTCACTGTATCTTTAGCCATATTAGAAAGTAAACGTCTGAAAATAGTAAGAAGATTGATGAGATGTACATGATGCACATATTTATTTATAGCAGTTAGAAAAATTGATAGCAGAACACAGTTTATCATATCCTGGAGCTATGGTTTATGAGTCTGACAACTCGATTTTCAAACGACAAGTAATGGGGTTCGAACAGTGTCCCAACTGCCACAGGTCTCGGTAGTTCGGAAGAAAATATCACAAGCAGGGATGCAATGGGTGTGGTTCACCACCTACTGCACCAGTGTGCGCACAGTTGTTGAGTTCGTTTCGATCCAAATTGACATAAAAGGACAAAAAATAAACTTATAAGCTAAACAAGACACTCAAGTTACTAGTAATGTTTGCAAGGATTGTTAATATCATATATTTCAATAACGCTATTAGAAAACGAAGATTATCTGAAAAATGTGTATTTGCGCAATACACATTTCGAACAATCTGATCACACATTCACTTGTCAAGTCAATTTATATGTGAAAGTGAAAGGTCAAATATAATGAATATGAAAAGGTTGTGACACTAGTCTTGGTAACATAATCAGATAAGGATTACCAAGGTAAATTAAGTGAAACAAAAAATTGTTTTTGTACGCACAACGGGGGCTTAAGTTTACGAATGGCTAACGCTTCAGCAAACTTCAGTATGCACCGCTGATTATTCCTGTGTAATATCTATTTTCGTATTACCTTGTGTTTCACTTTAATGACATGTTTTGCTATAGATGACGATGGATGTCTATCTTCTGCACTTATCAATGTTCGTATGTTAAACTGCTTTTCAAGCCATTTAGGTATGTGTTCACCCACCCTAGTCTGCATTGAACGATTACTCCTCCCTATGTATGTGTGCCCACACATACATGTAAATTAGTAAACACAGTGGGATGTGACGTAATCATTTATGCGAGGCAGAGGTTTGTGGTGAAGCAGGTGTTTTGTCGTCTCAATAATGATAAGCTAAGCTGCACAGTATGATTTACTGCTTCAATATCATACTACTCGTTTCCCCTCTGAGCCATTAATTTAGTATGTGACATATATACATCAGCTTATAACGGTCCTAATGGACTCCATATAGCTATGACATCAGTTTGCCGAAAGTGTTCACTTTCGAGAGTGAAATGAACCTTATCAGTACATAATAAAAGGAGCTCTTTTAAATGAATTAGAGAAATAGGGAAAGAAGGATAATTCGAAGATATGTAGCCGCAAAGAACATTAATTGTCTTCGTTGGAGGCATATTCCTAAACAAAGAGTTGACATGAAAAGAATACATTTTCTTATTTTTGATATTCAAATCAGTAAAGTAATCAACAAGTTCAAACGTATCTTTCAGTGAATACTTACATAAACCATTACGAATCGAGCTGAGTAATTCGGATAACCATCTCGCCAATTTGTGTGTGGGAGACTGACACACTGACAATATTGGGCGTAGTGGATTATCAATTTTGTGAATTTTCGGAAGTGAATATAGATTTGGGAAATCAGATCCCATAGGTTTTAAGCAATAACATCCATAATAAAGAGTTTAACTAGACACGTTGTTACTTTTTCTTTTTTCTTCTATCCCCTGCCAAGAATTTACTTTCATTACCAATACAACATTTTATTTTTGTAGTCTACTTTGTCCATCAACACAACAACTGATCCTATATCAGGCTTAAGAATTATCACATCAGGATTCTTCTAAAGCTTTTAGGAGGCATCAAGTGCTGTGCAGATAAAATACATCTCAATTTCCGTACTAGATTATCAACTTCATTGGCGATAACAACTAGTTTAGCCATCAACTAACTCTGGTTATCAGAAGAGATAGGAACTACAGAAACTAACTCATCATATAAATTTCGAAAATGACATCAACGCTTCAATCATTGCTATCACGGAATGGGACAGAAAAATAAAATCCCCTGGGAGCCAACCTCACCTCCTTAACTACTTCACTATTTACTGGCTGATCCTAAGCCCGGAAAAAGATGGAAGGTTGGGCATAGGGCAAGCAACCCTAACCCGTAAAACCAATTCAATCGCTAAAGAAACTTCAAAACACAAAAAAATAAAAATGAACTTATTCCTCGCTGGAATCGGAGAGACGAAATCACACCAGTTGGTGAAAGTTTTCGGGAAGCCAATTGGCCGATGTGTCTCTGCTTCTCTCGATGAAAGTGAAAGGAAGAATGAGGACATGGAATGTCTGCACAATGTTTGAAGCTGGCTAACAAGGCTACCCAGATTGCAAAAGATATGAGAAAATAAGGCATAGAAGTGCTAGGAATCTGCGAAAGCAGATGGAATGGAAGTGGACTCTCCAAACTGTCAACTGGAGAGTCAATAACCTACTCCGATATTGTCACCCAGACGACAACCACGAGCACACCGAGTTTTGGAGTGGCTATCATGATGTCCCCTCGAAGAGCATCGAGGACTGTCATGCAGTGGGAACCAATCTCCTCCTGCAGGATCATGACAACAAGATTCAAATCAAAAGGAAGGAAAATCACAGTCATACAATATACTGGGCTGCGCACCTACAAATAATGCAGATCAAAAGAAGAAGGAGGAATTCTACAGACAACTGCAATCACTACTGGACAAGACCCTATCCGAGTTGGCGACATCGAAATTCTAATGGGTGGGGTGACATGAATGCCAAACTGGGAGCGGACAACACAGGAAGAGAAGTGATCATGGGTCGAGAGGCACTCGTTTGTGAAATGAACGAGAGAACTGGAGAACTGTTTGCAGACTTCTGAGCATTCAACGATTTGGTGATTGGAGGCAGTGTGTACAAATACAAGGATATTCACAAAACGACATGTATTTGATTTCACCAGATGGACACACTACACTACACTAAAAATCAGATTGACTTCATCTCAATATGAAGAAAGTGGAGACGCAGCCAGCCTAGTGGACACAAGATCAGATAAAGAAGGGGAGCAGATGTAGGTTCAGACCATTCACTGTCTAGTGCAAGGAACCCTCAAAATCAAGTTGAAAGCCTCCAAAGAAGCTGATGATAGACCAGAGTTCAAGTTGAACACCCAGAAAAGTAACTGAAGGACGAGACTACAAACCACATCTTCACATCAGTCATCAGGAAAGAATGGGAGACATTAGGCAACATCGCTGTGGAAACCTGTGTGGAAGAACACTGGAATTCTTTGAAAGAGACGTGGAAAGATGCCTGCATGACTGTATTAGGAAGGAAGAAGAAGAAGAAGCAAGACAAGGAATGGATCTCGACGGACATATGGAAGCTGATAGAGGAGAGGAGGATGGTGAAGCAGAAGATGAACCAGTTCAGTGCAGGGATGAACAACGAAGAGAGGAACTGAGTACAACGTATAAAACACTGGACAAAGAAGTGAAGAAGAGTGCGCGGAAAGACAAGAGACACTTCTACGACACATTGGTGAGCGAAGGAGAACAGGCTGCTAGTAGGAGAGACCTGACAACATTATATCAAATAACCAGGTTACTATCTGGGAAGAGATCAACACAGATGAAACCAATGAAAGATAGTCAAGGAAACGATGGGTTGACCACTTCAAAAAAAACTCTTGAGTAGACCACCACCACCACCACCACCTGCAACTCGTCCAGAAATACTACCAACAGCCAGCTACAGAACCATTAGTGAACACAAGCCCTCCGCCAAAAGCAGAAGTCCTGAACGCCATAAAGTTACTGAAAGCCGGAAAATCAGCAGGACCAGATGGAATTCCTCCAGAAGCACTGATAGCAGACTCAGAGATATCAGCAGCGGATATGCTCACACCACTAGTGCAGAAGGTTTGGAAGGAAGGAAGAAAAGGTACCTGCCGGTTGGAAGAAGGGCTTCCTTATCAAACTTCCAAAGAGGGGCGACCTAAGTCTTTGCAAGAACTGGTGCGGAATCATGCTCCTGTCCACCCAAAGCGAGCAAAATATTATGCCCCATCATACTGGAGAGACTAAAAAATGCTCTGGATTGAAAATTATCACCGGAACAGGCTGGCTGGCTGGCTGGCTGGCTTCAGGAAGAACAAATCATTTGCAGATCAAATTACAACGCTATGCTGTGCATCATCATAGAACGGAGCATAGAATGGCAGTCAACTGAATCTCTACCTCAACTTCATCGATTTGGAAAGGCCTTCGACAGCGTCGATCGAGAAGTAATTGGGGAACTGCTTCAATACTACGAATTACCACAAACCTTTATCAATCTCATTCAACAACTATATGAAGACGCCGCAGGCCAAGTAATTCACAATGGGAAGCTCAGTGATGCCTTTGAAGTGAAGACAGGAGTAAAACAAGGCTGCCTACTATCACCCATGATATTCCTGATTGTGGTCGACTCGACTGGACTGGATCATGCAACAAACTGTGAGGAGCTGTGAGAATATGGGCATACGCTGTTTGACCGATGAAAAGAGCCTAGAAGATTTGGATTTCGCCAACGATGATGATTTATGTCTAATGTCTTGTGGCACAAACTCGAAGATCTACAGGCCAAAAACAACAAGTTGACAGAGGAGGTAGAGCAGCGAAGACGGGACTTCAAGTGAACGTAGAGAAGACAGGGGTGATTAAGGTGCCCAACCAACACCACCAACACCAACAACAACAACAAGCTCCAACCACCATAAACAGAAGAAACTTGAAGGAAGTAGCCTCTTTCACCTACACCTATCTAGGCAGCATCGTTTCAACTACAGGCGGCACAAGCACAAATAAGAATATCAAAGCCAGGATTGGAAAAGCAAGACAGGCGTTCATTAACCCTAAACCAGTGTGGAGATCTTCTGCACTCAACATAAAGAACAAGATCCCGATTTCCAACACTAATTCAATCAAGTCAGTGCTTCTTATGTGATGGTTGAGAGACTTAGCGTGTTACGAAAAGCATTTCCAACAAACTACAGACATTCATCAACAACTGCCTACGCTAGATACTAAAGGTCAGATGGCCAGAAAGATTAAGTAGCAAGGAACTCTGGGAATGAACCAACCAAGCACCTATCGCTCAACAAATATGCAGAAGGAAGTGGAGATGGATTGGGTATACACTGAGAAGACCATTAGGGGACATCACCCGCCAGGTCAGGCACTTGAGTGGAACCCAGATAGGAAACGACGAGTTGGGTGTCCGAGGGTGATATGGGGGAGATTATATGAGGGGAAAATGAAAGCTTCTGGGCTGTTGTGGAGCCAGGTTCAAAAGATTGCGAGAACAGAGTGCACTAGAGACGTGCTACTGAAGCCGTATGTTTCACTAGGAACCCAAGTGACAAATAATAATAATAATAATAATAATAATAATAATCAACCGATGAGCCACAACCCCACCAGAAACAACTCAAGCTGGTATGTGGATGACAGTAAAGTAAACGCCCAACGGCCGTTTCGTTCGTTTGAGGCTGAGTTCATTAGCGGTGTACCCGGAGAAATTCAACACAGATCCGAATAGTTCAGATCACCTGAATCTGAGAACCATGGGTGAGTATGTTTTAAATAGGATGATTAATTTGTAAATGATTTACAAATCGTACGGTCCACGTTACTGAAGTGATCACCCTATCGGTGATACCGCTTGACTTCGCTTATAAACAGAAAAGTGGATGTAATAAAACTGAGACCAACAAACAACAGGCTCAGTCTTTGATCGAACTCACTCGATAAATCAACCTTACAGATCCTAGACCAAAAATATGTCATCTAAAGCGTTTATTCTGTAAAATTTGGGAGCATTAGCAGTGTGAAAGTAACAAGAACACCAGAGTGTATGTAATACAGGTTAGATACAATAACCATATGAAATAAACAACATATGGGGGAACTAAGACAGCCATCTGCGCATCCACCCCTACAACACCTACTTCACGTGGTATGGGTAAAAACCATTGGTCAGTTGAACAAATGTGAGAAAAACAGACTGAGATTTTTTCCCCTGAAAGTCTACCATTGCCTCGTATTATAAGTCGAAATATTAATCAGATAACAATGCATAAAGAATATACCACTATTGAGCAACCGAGATTGCCTTTTAATGAGTCACATTTAACAATACAATGATTTTACTCCTTAGTTGATATTTTTAAGGAATTACCAGGTTAGTTGTAAATCGAACAAAATCAACGTAGAACCTTGCACACAAGTGCATTACCTCGAGTTGCAATGCTCCATAGTGCACAAAAACCAAGTGAATAGAAACAGATTGATGTCAAAGTAGACAAAGGTATATGGGAGGGGAGAGAATTTTAAAATTAAGGTTAGTGCGAACATTACAGCTTGAAAAGGAGTGAAAGGGTGAATACATCCCCATCACTGTGACCGATTTTCAGCCATCTCATCAAGACCCCTCAATCAGTGATTTCGTCTCGAAGAACCCCACCAAGCAGTCGACGTCTCCGCCACACGGCTCAGATCAACAGTCATAGATCTCATCGACTGGTGCCACGTGTTGGTCTGACCACCCTGAAAGTCCTTCCAACATAATGCAACTTCCCTTAGCATGCATGGTACATCGAGGTAGGCGGTGGTTTGGCATGCGCAGTACATGTGCAAGCCATCTCAGTCGACTCAGGTTCACGACTTCATCAATCGACTTGCCTCTCTTGCCTAGTACAGCAAGGAATCCAGAACAGCAACTTTCAAATCTCAACTTGTTATGTTCACTAGACTCGTCAAAGACTGATGGAGCGGTAAAACGTAAAAAATTACAAGCGCATGTATACCGGGCCTTTACTGTGAAGGTGTTCAGAACACACCTGACTTCTTTGGAGCATCTAGACAACCAATACAGTTCATCATAATTGTCTCTTGAAATTCAGTTAAGTATAAAAAGATATGCATGATTCCCTCATTTTTCTTACATATACCTGATTGTTGTTCAATTTGCCTTAAGCAACTTAGTTGAAAAACATAGCTCAGCAATCTGATACTACAAGTCTGCTATGAGCCAGGCTTATTTTTGTGGAATATGATGATTCTACGCGGTTGTTCCGGCTGAAGTAGGTGGATGGTGACGGATTGCTTGGAATCCAAATGTCTACATCAACAAGGTAGGCACGCTTCCATATGATAAAGAACTGGTTATGCTTAACTTAATCCCAAACTGGCTAACATTCTCAGGACTCAATTACTGAGATACAGGTCCAATTTTGTTCTGGTTTCTTCAATATGATTCACCATACAATACCATTACCAGTAATCTGGTCAACATCTCGTAAATGAATATAGTCATGGTGGTTAGCGAAGTAACTTTACAAACAGTGATAAGAATACACAGGTTATCTTTACTGACCTTTCAATTATCACTAATTGATTGATGGCTTTTTGATTTACAATTTATAGTCATGCTATCTTATTCACCCTCTTTATAGATAAGTGACCAATGGATTCAAAAAAAGTTAGAAAACGTATTCGAATAGTCATTTGTCCTTTGGTTTGGCCTTTCGACATTCATTACACAAGTCATATGTCATAGTGACAGTGTCAATAACGTAGAAGTCAAGCGTAGAGTTTTGGACAGGAGAAGAAAGTCAGTTGATGAGGTTGTGAATCATTATCGATACAAGCAACTGGAATATATATATACGCAACGCACACCTAATCACTGTCTATCACGACATATAATGTTAACTAAAGTAGGTTACATACAGCTACACTAAAATATATCACTAGTTCATGAAAGCTTTGACTGGTAGTCTGAACAGTGTAGGGAAATGTAGGGTTCCCCACTTAGGGTCCACCACACGATTGAGAGTCGATCTCAATGGTGTTGATGCATTCACACATCATAAAAAATTTCATAAGTTCATTTCTCCTTGTTCGTTTTTCACGACTTCATACCACTTCCGACTCATTTCTTCCTTATTTACCAGCAACTTTTATTTTGATGAGCTGATGAAGTGTGAAAACTTGAACGTCTCACAATCAAGTCACTGGCTTAAGTAACGGGTTTCAGTTACATAATTTAGTGTGCGAATAACTGGACACTATTTCAGCACTTTCATGTAGATAGAAGCTGTAGATACAAGAGACTCATTGCACTAGGTTTCTTTCATCATGTTCAGAAATGAAAAACGATACTAAACGAACACCAACTCTGACAGATTCGACTTCTTGGTAGACAGCAAACACCACCTGCAGATATAAGGCTCACTTTATACACATCCATCTTCATAAACAAGCCTCCTAATAAACCCGAGATTGGAAAATATACACAATTAAATTTCAACCTCATACTTCTAAAAAGGCAACTAAACAGTCATCGACAGCATTTCGCATTTCAGCAAAACTCCCTTCCTGGATGAATTACATATCAGTACGCAATACAGATAAGTCAATTAATTGTATGCACATAAACAAAAAGTTATCATGATGAATTTACTTGCAATTGCTCAATTGTGAGCGTAACATTTTATTTTCTTCAATTGCACGTGACATTTCTTTCGATGGCGGTAGAATAACAATTTCTCTGGATTCGGTGGTATTTTCACAAGGTAAAATTTTCTCAGGTATGCGTGATCTTTGATTATCCACTAAATATAATTCAATATCTAAGATGCAAAAAAAGGAGGAGAGAAACATTAAAACAGCAGAGACCGCCGTCAGCATTATTATCCACATGATGTACGCAAACAGTAAATTTAAGACGTGGGTAGATTTAAATAGATGAACCTTCAAGGATTAGTATTTTGTTAATTAATATGGAGAAACACGCGTTGCTTCGAAGCTCGTATATACGATGGGTAGTTAAGAATCACTTGACTTCCAACAAACCAGATAAAGTCAACGTAGAACCTCGCAAACACATCCATCGATCTAAGCCGCCACACTTCACAGTAGTGTGCAAAGAACAAATGGGTGGAAAAAGTGACATCAAAGTAGACAAACGTGTATGGGAGTGTTGCGCCTGTGGGCAGAAAGAATGAGAGCGATAACAAATCAATCACGAATGTCCTTAAGGTGTATACCTTCTGTTCTCACCTGTTAGCTTGTCACGGTTGCAATGTCATATATATTTTCTAGGTGCTTTCTTAAGTAGTCGAAAACTGTTACATTGACATGGTGGTCGAGCTTGCATATCACAATGACCTGACGAGCTATCTGGGTGGGAGGCTTCTTCCCTCAGGGTCCAGAAAAGTCTATCACATAACGCCAAGCCGAAAAGCAGTTACCATTGTAGTGTAAATCACTATACTACCATGGTCTGAGGGCGAAGTTATACTGTTGCTAGCTGGGCGATGTGTATGACAGGCCTAGACCAGGTGTCCCATGGCCGATCTCTATGCCAGATCAGACAGCAAGCACCCCTCGCCAAAACTCTGAAATCTCTAGCCATGGGTGTATGCTGACTCTGAGATACGTATACATGACCCGAGTGTGCTTATTAAGCTGACCTCACCTGACCATAGTACTGAGTCTCCAAAAATCACCTTAGGAGTGTCCGGAGACTCAGTGACTAGCTCTCGTGGATTCGCTGGTGTAGGCATAGCATTGAGACCCAAGCCAGAAAGTGCGCTTTTCGACTGGGTAACAGTAAACAGCCGCCTGTATGTTGTTTGGTCGAATGAGTTTGTAAGCACTAGGCGAATGCCTATTTGTCATCTCCGCGTACGCACCCACCGACTGTAGTTCGGATGATACAAAGGATGAATTCTATGAGGAACTGTCAATTTGCTGCAGAAAACAAAACGCTCAGATGTAGTCATAATGGCAGGTGATTTTAACGCTCAAGTGGGGAAGCTGAGCCGATCGGAGAGGCGTCTTGGAGATATTTACGGAATCTCACGACGATGAACTGACAACAGTGATCATCTGTTGCAATTTTGTTCCGACCCTCACTTGTTTCTGGTCAGTATTAACTTTAGGCACAAGGAGACGCATTATCTTAGATGGCGTCCACCCACATCAAACCTACGATGGACACAGATAGATCACATTGCTATGAGCCATCGTTGGACAGGATCAGTGGCGAATCGCCGCTCCTTCTGGAGTACCAGTTTGGACTCCGGTCGCGCGCTAGTATGGGCTAGTCTATGTATGCGCCTCACTGGCCTAAAGAAACAGAGGGCAGTGAGGCCTTTCTGTGCTCCATTGGTAGATGTCGGCGCCAAGTACGCATTTACAGAGGGGTTAGCTAAGCATTAGTCTGAATGCGACAGTAATTCTCATCTTGAGGAAACCCGGGGTGATATTAAATCTACTGTAGAACGAACGATAAAGACAATCGGTAACCAACATCCGAAGGTTAGCAAACCTCATCATTTGACTTCCACGACGTCATACGAACTGCTTGATGCAAGAAGACTGTGTCCACCTGGCTCTGACCACGATGAAGAGCAAAAGCAATTGGTACTTAAATCGACCTAGTCTTCGCATTAATCACCAGCAGTGGTATATGACAAAAGCGAGAGAGATGGAGAATGCATCAGCGTTGAGCGACACTGGGCAACTATTTAGATCTATAACAGATACCGGGAAGAAAAAGACGGTGGTGAGTGAAACCGTCACCGAAGAGGATGGAACGCTTACAACCTCCCATGACAGGCGGTTAGAACGTTGAGCAGAACACTCTGATGCACAGTTCGATTGGCCCTCAGCAACGCTTCAGTCAAACAACATCCATACCGAACCTGAATGAGACGTAGATATTTGTCCACCAACTCTTCTTAAAGTTGAGAAATCTGTATGAAACCTAAAACGATGTGAAGCAGCTGGACCTGGAAGTTTGCCACCTCTAGTCTTCATGGATGGAGGTAGGGAATCGCTAGTTAAAATGACCAAGGTACTAGGTAGTGTATGGGAATAAGAGGTAGTACCACCAGACTGGTCTACTTCACTGATCATCCAAGTGTATAAGAAGGGGTAGAAATCTTTTTGTGACAATGATAGTGAAATCAGTTTGACTAATATTGTGTCCATGATCGTAGAGTCGATAGTTATCCGACGCCTAATTGGAGCTTAAGAACAGGAAACTGGAGAAAGCTGAGCAGGTTGCCGACAGAACTGGACGAAGGTGCATCGATCATATTTTCAACCTACAACAGGTTATGCAACACGGGCACACCTAAAGTCTAAATATCTATTGGAATGTGATGGTTTCCAGCAGACACATGTGTCTAAACCACCGTCATGTCCTCGTTTTATTTTACATTGAGTAATTAGACAACGAAGTTAGTCTGAACAATGTGATGTATTTATATATATATATATATATATATATATATATATATATATATATATATATATATATGAAATTTTCACTGAAACATTTATTTTGATGCCACATAGTTTGATTATGACACCACCGCCATATTGCACAGTGTCATCTGTACCAATATGTAAAAAAGTAGCGAACCTTTAGAATTTTTCCATAGCTGGTAAATCTATCTACCCTAATAACACTGATCAGTTCTCTTTGGAGACACTTTTATCATTTGCTCAAACTCTGCTATAGACTGCTTCGTTAACGTGACGTCTGACCGAGTGACATTTCGGTCATTGTAAGCTTGATTATTCGACACAGTCGTGGTTTCGGAAACTTGTATCATTGGTAAATGATAACTGAAAGTAAAACAAAAATTTGGGTTGCAGCAGAATTTGAACCTTCGGGTTATCAGTCCGATGCTCTACCAACCACCACCATCTTTAATCATCACCGAGTTTCAATAAGATAAATCTTCCAAGTCACAGGTATTTAAGACAATCAAAATGTTAAGCAATATGATGTTCCCTCTCTCATTCTAATTCCTTTAGACTTACCATTGAGCCAATGTGTCTCCTCTCGATGAAAGCGAAAGTAAGAATACGGACATGGCATGTCCGACCAATGTTTGAACCTAACAAGGTTGTTTAGACTGCAAAAGAGATTAGGAAGAATAGCACTGAAGCGATACGAAATTGCGAAAGCAAATGGAATGGAAGTGGATTCTCTAAAACTTCACATGATGTGTTGACCACTTCAAAAAAAACTCTTGAGTAGACCACCACCACCACCACCACCTGCAACTCGTCCAGAAATACTACCAACAGCCAGCTACAGAACCATTAGTGAACACAAGCCCTCCGCCAAAAGCAGAAGTCCTGAACGCCATAAAGTTACTGAAAGCCGGAAAATCAGCAGGACCAGATGGAATTCCTCCAGAAGCACTGATAGCAGACTCAGAGATATCAGCAGCGGATATGCTCACACCACTAGTGCAGAAGGTTTGGAAGGAAGGAAGAAAAGGTACCTGCCGGTTGGAAGAAGGGCTTCCTTATCAAACTTCCAAAGAGGGGCGACCTAAGTCTTTGCAAGAACTGGTGCGGAATCATGCTCCTGTCCACCCAAAGCGAGCAAAATATTATGCCCCATCATACTGGAGAGACTAAAAAATGCTCTGGATTGAAAATTATCACCGGAACAGGCTGGCTGGCTGGCTGGCTGGCTTCAGGAAGAACAAATCATTTGCAGATCAAATTACAACGCTATGCTGTGCATCATCATAGAACGGAGCATAGAATGGCAGTCAACTGAATCTCTACCTCAACTTCATCGATTTGGAAAGGCCTTCGACAGCGTCGATCGAGAAGTAATTGGGGAACTGCTTCAATACTACGAATTACCACAAACCTTTATCAATCTCATTCAACAACTATATGAAGACGCCGCAGGCCAAGTAATTCACAATGGGAAGCTCAGTGATGCCTTTGAAGTGAAGACAGGAGTAAAACAAGGCTGCCTACTATCACCCATGATATTCCTGATTGTGGTCGACTCGACTGGACTGGATCATGCAACAAACTGTGAGGAGCTGTGAGAATATGGGCATACGCTGTTTGACCGATGAAAAGAGCCTAGAAGATTTGGATTTCGCCAACGATGATGATTTATGTCTAATGTCTTGTGGCACAAACTCGAAGATCTACAGGCCAAAAACAACAAGTTGACAGAGGAGGTAGAGCAGCGAAGACGGGACTTCAAGTGAACGTAGAGAAGACAGGGGTGATTAAGGTGCCCAACCAACACCACCAACACCAACAACAACAACAAGCTCCAACCACCATAAACAGAAGAAACTTGAAGGAAGTAGCCTCTTTCACCTACACCTATCTAGGCAGCATCGTTTCAACTACAGGCGGCACAAGCACAAATAAGAATATCAAAGCCAGGATTGGAAAAGCAAGACAGGCGTTCATTAACCCTAAACCAGTGTGGAGATCTTCTGCACTCAACATAAAGAACAAGATCCCGATTTCCAACACTAATTCAATCAAGTCAGTGCTTCTTATGTGATGGTTGAGAGACTTAGCGTGTTACGAAAAGCATTTCCAACAAACTACAGACATTCATCAACAACTGCCTACGCTGGCTCGTTACTCCAGCTCAGATGGCCAGAATAATAAGAATAAGCAACAAGGAACTATGGCTGGCTGGCAACGAACCAACCAAGCACCTATCGCTCAACAAATATGCAGAAGGAAGTGGAGATGGATTGGGTATACACTGAGAAGACCATTAGGGGACATCACCCGCCAGGTCAGGCACTTGAGTGGAACCCAGATAGGAAACGACGAGTTGTGTGTCCGAGGGTGATATGGAAGAGATTATGTGAGGAAAAAATGAAAGCCTCTGGGCTGTCGTGGAGCCAGGTTCAAGAGATTGCAGAGAAGAGAGTGAAATAGTGACGGGCTACTGAAGCCCTATGTTCCACTAGGAACTCAAGGGACAAATAATAATAATTCTAACAATTCAGACGCTTCAAGTTTCACATATTTTCTCAGTCATATTCTTATCCAGCCATATCTGTAGATTTCGTCTGCTAGATAAGAGTGATGCAAACGTGGGACGGCTTTTTCACTCATTTATAACTGAGCTCATTTAGCTAGAACTGAACTGCTAAGACTAACAGAATCTGGCTAGATGACTTCTTCATGTGTAATGATCTGAAGGATGATATATTGTATTGCTTAACTGTTAGTTTATGTTCACGTATAGGAAGTTGAAAATTCAGTCAACTTCGGTTAATCCAGCGCTTCGCTTACCTACCAATACATTGAATTTGTTAAAAAGCATGGATAAGAAAGTAAAGATATAGATGGTTTATTATGCAATAAAACACTTACCAATTGATAAAACTTCATCATCCACTAAAACAGGATAGAGTAAATCTATAGAGTCAGTTTTCCAAATCATATCATAGAATGTTTGACGTATATCAGTTGGTTGCTATAAAAGAAATCATATATATTGGGGAAAGAAATGAAGCAAACTACTGAGAGAGTCAATCAATCACATTAGGGGATCCGAACCACGTACTCTCCAGTATTACACCGGTTTGGTGTCGTAGTCACTGATTTTCAACTGGTCAACTGACATTGGAAGGCGACCATTGTGTGGTTTCTCATCATGAAATGAGACTGTGTGCTGTTTACCTCAGTAATTAGTTTATTATCATGTGAATGTGGAAATTCGGTCCATTGGTTGAATCCATCGAGTTTCAATCAGTAATTTGCAGCTTGGAATTTTGATGAATCCATCCATTTTAATGAGCTTCATGCGACTTGATAATGTTCTCTTGGCCTGATCTCTTCGCTGTGTTTGCGAAATCATCTAACTGTTAATTTTTATTCATGAACCTAGTACGTCTCCCCGGTTAATGCTAATAATTATCTCAGCTTGCAGGTTTAATTGATTTCAAAGAAGTATTCGCCACGAACTAACATCGGGTGTATAACCAGCGAAAAGTGGGAGCATTGGACAACTATTTTGTCTTAGTATGGGACTCCACAGCAGTGCTCACTAATGGTTGGTTGTCGATATCTGTTCATACGACTGGGATTCCGAAATTTCCACCTGAGTGCCTTCCTGCTTGACTTAGCCTACCCACTTGTGGACTGAAATCACTTGCTTTGACAACCACGTCTGAATGTTTGGCTTTCAGTAGGAGGTTGGAAGGTTTTCGGTAGAAATCATCCTTTACTTTTTCTCAACTAGAGTCAGCGGGTGCGTACATACAGATTACAGAGAGACAACGGTGAGTTTCACTATTCTTTTCAGTTTTCACTGCACTGTTCAATCGAACAGCACCCAGGCGACTGTCAACTGGGATCCAGTCAAGCATCATACTTTCTGCTTCAGCACTTAATTCTACACCTACATCTGCACAACCTCGAAAACTAGCTATCGAATCCCCAGAAAGTGGAAGAGTTAATTTTTTGAATTCAATATATTGGTATGGAGGGATTATGTGAACAATCTCACTTCGTACCTGTATGTGTGTTTCACAAACACGACACACATCCATAACCCAAAACAGCACAGTTTTGGATAGCGAAGCCTGTGCACCGATATGACAGAGGGTACAAATAGTGATAGCTTCCATATATTTTGGAGCGCGTTTTTAAGAGCCCAGTGATGTTACTCCGTGAACTCAGATAGGAATCAAGATCTGTAGAACTGGATTAAATCAACGATGATGTAGAAGTGAAGCAAGACTAGAAGATATGGAAATGGAAGTTTGGTAGTAATCTACGGGAACTTGAATGCTGACAAAGTTGTGAGGGCGGTTGTTATTTCCGGTTGCCCACACTGTGGAAGGCTATTTCTTCTTAAGATGCCCGAAAAATAGAGTCTGGCGCATGAGCAACAAGCATGCGGGTAAGGCCGGTTGCAACGTTTTTGGAAGGTTGAGACTGAAGTTTGTTAATCTCGACTTCGCTACGAACCCATATCGCTGGCACTGGTAAGCAGCAGAGAAGAGGGGGATGTGCTATATTTGGGACCGACCTTTCCTAACCCCGTGACCTTCCCATAGGGAAGGTAGTATCAGCACGGCACTACTGGTCAACCGCGGGGAACACCTTACTGTTGTAACACTCCCGTCCGGGAAATATTACTTCGCCCACACACCCCCATCATAGCGTAAAAATTAACACTATAACGGGACCTGCTTTTTATCTTACCACTGTCCAAAAAACCTTTCTGGCATTGCAGGACCTCGAGGGAACAAATTTTCCAGCCGTTGTAGCTCTTTGGGTCATTGTGATAGTCAAGCCCGATCACGACGTCTAGGTAGCAGCGATTGGCCGGTGGTTGTAGACGAATCACAACAGCCAGCTGTGTTCACCAGCCAGCCAGAGCGGAGTGATTTAAACACCAAATGGTCATTTCGTCCGTTTGAAGTACTGCTCATCAACGGTGGACCTGGAGTGATGCAGCTCAGAGAACCAAATTGTTCAAACCACTCAAACGCCTGACTTTTACGTTGTTGTGGTTATTGCTGAAATAGTGATATAGCTTACTTGGAAAGCATTTAACAACAGAAGAGTCGTTGCCTTACTTATAGTGATAAATAATATCCATGGTACAGTTTTTACGTTTGTTTTCTTGCCACCTTTAGAAATCTGAGGAAAATTACAAGTACTCACGTGAACAGTCTGAATTCCGTAATGATAAACATAAACAGCTTAGGATGTAGATATTTAAATTAAGTCGCACCCTGAACTTCAGTTTTGGCTAGTGAACGTTTACACATCATACCAGATATCATTATCATCAGTGAAAATTCAGGGGTAAGTAGAGTAACATGACTATGTTATTTTATCGCCGGTGGTCGTAACTGAACCCAACTTGATCGGTGAGCCTGGAAGTGCGGGAGTACACTGTTGAAGACATAGCTTATCGGAGTAAGAACTTAACTTCCGACCAATGAGTTAAGGATTTGAACTCCACTCCACCTCCCAACGTCTGGGCAGTCAGGTAGTATCAATGACCGTTACACAATAGGTGTGGCTCATCGTATAATACAAGAACGAGCAGATGGTAGCTGCGCAGGTCTCAATACTGTTGAAGCCTACTTCACTTGAAGCAAGTTATTCATTTATCATGGACAGCAACTCTCCAAATGTTAGTCAGCCAACCAATCACCTAATTACACGCAGTCTGAGAGACGTAGGAGACTGATTCTGACCAATTAGGTTTGAAATATGCCCTAGTGATTACAGACCGACCAATAAGGTTGGATTCAGTTAGAATCACTGGCTATAAATATCCATGTACAATCAAGTTACTTTCTTCCTTCGTCAGGTTGCATGATGACAACAAAAACTCAATCAATTAACCAATATCAACATAGAATCAGGCATTACTGTACAACAGTCCAAGATGCCATAACTCCTTTCGGCACAACGATTAAAAACTGTAATATGATGAATGATGAAGAAAAAAAGAAGTCAGCCAAAGGTAGTAGAACGCAGCACAAGAGAGGAAGAAAAAATGAGAAACTGCTGAATTCAGTACAGCGGTTAAAATGAAGACAGAGTATACATCTCCCAACTGACACCGATTCTGTCATATGACTGACTAAATAAAAAATCAGTGTAGAACTTCGCAAACAAGACAACACCTCAAGTTGCAACACTACACGGTATTACACGAAGAACAGGTGGATAAAAAAGAGTGATAAGTAAGTAGAAACAGTTGTGTGAGAGGATAAACAATCGAAAGACAAAGGCTAGTGCAAATATTTAAGCTTTAGAAGATGTCAAGGAGTGAATACATCTGAGCCATTGTAACCGATTTTCAGCCGTGTCAACAAGACCCCTCAACCACTGACTCCTTTCGTCTCGGAGACCCCAACCAAGCACTCTACAGCCCCCCCCCCACACACACGGCTCAAACCAACAGTCACAGACTCCATCAACTGGTGCCACGTCTTAGTACGGCCACCCTGAACCCTCTTCCAATCCAATCCAACTCCCCATAGCATGCATGGCACATCGAGGTAGGCTGTAGCTCGGCATGAGCAACACATGTGCAAGACATCTCAATCGACTAAGGTTCACAGCCTCATCAATCGACTTGCCTGTCTGCCCTTCACATGACCTTAACATTGCTCATACGGTGATTCCATCAAACACGAGAGATGCTACGAAGACACTTATGATTAACAACCTGTAACCACTTCATGTCTTCTACTTTCAACGACCATGTCTCACAACTGTATAACAGGACGGAACCGACTGCAGTGCAGTATCCTCGTCCATTGATAGATAGTTGAATATTTGGCCTGTCAACGCCACAGATTACGTAAGTTGGCAAGTGCTAGATGGATCTTCTGTATCCGAGCTGAGATTTAGTCACCAGTCAGGCCGTTCGAGCTGAAACAATTCCCTACATTCCACTACTTCATTCCCTATCATTACACTGTGAGTACTTGCAGCAGACCAGCTAGTCCTAGAGTATCATATTATATTTGACAGGTTCCAGCGAAACGCATGTCAAACATACTCAGGTTTCTGCTTAACAAGTCCAGAAGACGCCGTCTTTTGTCAATTTCTTCACCTAGCAGGACAATATCTTATGCATACTTCAAGTCAACCAGATGACCTACAGGCATTAGATCAATCCCTGTGATGTCATTTTTAAGTCAACGACCAAGCTAAATAGGAACGGTGACAGTAGACATATCTGGCGAACACCACTAGTTATCGTCAAATCACATGACAGCTCGTCATACGCTCTGACACGGTTGCGTAAGTTCAAGCAGAGAGCTTCGATTAGCTTCATATGATATATTGGTACTCCCTTCACAGTCAGACACTCCCAAAACACCTCACGATCAACAAAGCCGAATAACGCCTTTACATCAACAAATATGGCATGTGTCGGCCGCCAATAGGTGTGTGCCTGCGCTGCATAATCTGTCGTAGGTTGAAAATATGATCGATGCACCTTCGTCCAGTTCTGTCGGCAACCTGCTCAGCTTTCTCCAGTTTCCTGTTCTTAAGCTCCAATTAGGCGTCGGATAACTATCGACTCTACGATCATGGACACAATATTAGTCAAACTGATTTCACTATCATTATCACAAAAAGATTTCTACCCCTTCTTATACACTTGGATGATCAGTGAAGTAGACCAGTCTGGTGGTACTACCTCTTATTCCCATACACTACCTAGTACCTTGGTCATTTTAACTAGCGATTCCCTACCTCCATCCATGAAGACTAGAGGTGGCAAACTTCCAGGTCCAGCTGCTTCACATCGTTTCAGGTTTCATACAGCCTCTTTAAAACTCGACGCTTGACTTTTGAGTTACTAATGTAAGGATGCTAAAACTCAAATTCCAACGGCAGGCAACTTAATCTGAACATTATCTACTTGCATACTCAACTAAGCTGCATAAGACGAGCTGAAGAATTCAATTCTTACGTCCATGGGATTATATAGTCTTGTTTATGTCCACCTACTTCGGTTTGGGTAACCGGATAGCATCATAAAGCCCTGTACAGACTTCCGATTGCAAGCTTCAGTACGATAAACGAAGCAAAATGCATCCTATCATAGACACAATACTAAATATCTATCCTTAACTGTTCACAACCAACTACTCCAATTTGCTAAAAAAAAATTAAAAAAGTACTCAATTCTCCACTATATTGCAAAAACGTGAATTGGATAAAATACTTTTTTTAAACAGAGATAAAAGACTTACAGTTTTACGAACGAAATTTACAAATCGAATCCAATCATACTGATCATTGAAAATACTTCTACCCTCACCGTCTAAAAAATTGACCCAGTCATGCTGAATAGTAAGATGTCGAAAGAATTGTGGAACTGAATTGAAAAACTCTTCACACATTAAACATATATACTTTTCAGAGGAGAGTGAATCAGGCAGTGTAACTTCTTGCCAACCATCTGAATCATATTCTGAGTCGACTGGATTTCCGTTGGACGTAATTAATTCACTCATATCTATAAGATGAAAGAGAGATAAAAAGGTGACTCTTATCAAGGGAGGAAAAAGTCCCTCCATTTTAGTCTCTTTATTAGATGTTTCACTCAGTGGAACAGTATTATTTACATGATAACGTTTAGGACATAATTTATTGACCATATTTATACCAGATGTGATATGAATATGGACAACAGATAAAATTGTTTCATTGGGTAGTGTTTCTGATAAACAGACTAAAATGGAACTAGAACCACACCACCCAAGTTTTACTCCGACATTGAGGAAAAAGTTAACTTTATTTTTACCTACTGACAGATTGTATTTGTTTGTACGCGTTTGACAGTGGATTTGAACTGAGTCCTCTCAACTACTCACTAATGAGTTACGAGGAGGTTCAATCCACCACTTCGCCTACTCAATAATAGGCAACAAGGAGTAATATTACATGCCCTTATATCTGGCAATATGTAAAACTAAAAATAAGGATGCTGAGCTGTAAAGACCATTTTGGGTGTGGTGCAGTTAAAATTCAGTACAGAAGTGCATTAATATGCACAACTTCATCCTAAACCAAAGGAACCGAGATGATGTTAGCTTGGGGTATACTTTTATTCAACTGATTACTTGAATTTCAATGGAACAGTTAATGGTCACAAGCTAAGATTGCTTACGGTATGAATAAGTGTTCCACTTGCTAACCAATTGTCTGTTACGTAGCACATGAGTACTGTCTGTCCTACCTACATTCGCAAAAATGACTATATAAATTTAGCTTAAACGACGAAATAGTGTTATGCACGTCTCTTGGGCTGTATAGAGAAGCGTAGGTTGTCCGGTTGAGTACTTCAGACGATAGGAACCAATGGTCGCAAACTCTCAGTGATGTGGCTGAGAATTGGCTACAATGGAGAAGGTGCATTCATTCTTTGTCATCTTTAAAGTCTTCAACATTTTGTTAACCTCTATTTATTTATTCCAGTACATACACGTTTGTCAATTATAACATCACTTTTTCTGTACACTTCTACTTTGCATGCTGCTACGAACTGTTGCAATTTCAACCGATGCACTTTTGTGTAATGTTCTACGTTCATCTTTTTGTCTAGATACAATTCTAAAGTAGTGCTTCTTTATGATAAGGAAACGTTCTTCTCCTTAGTTCTCATCTTCTTCCATAAGCCCATACAAAATTACTACCGTTACTACTACCGCCTACGAAGGAATAAAGATTAGATATTGTGAATTACTAACCTAGTAGATTAAACCAGTGCTTCAGGTAATCAGTATGGGACTCACATCGTATTGTGAAATATGTCATACAGATGGAATGTAAATACACCTCAGTAGCCTAGTGGATAATGCTTTGGCGTCTGAAGTGGTAGGTACTGAGTTCGAGTCCCAGTGGGAACAACATCACTCACTGGGATGCAGCCACATCCAGCTGACGAGTCAGAAATAGGACAAAGTGCGCATCCCGAATTCCTCTGCCAGCCACAACCAAACAAACCACCGCAATAAATATGTGGGCAATATCAAGGCATCCATATAGGAGCCCATGTGCTAACAGAGGTCGGAGAATTCGATCCAGTATAACAACGGAGAATTACAAGTATATCAACAAACAATTGTAAATACACCCAGTTAACATGGAATGTTTAAAATCTACAAAATATTGTTTGTTGCTCCATAGAATCACAGCGACTTACATGTCATAAACCCAAAAATCATACCCGGAAAAAGCTGGGTGCCTGCCACACCTGACTAATAAAAGTAAAGTATCTGTGAAGAACTAAGGCATACTACCATGGTTACTATCGTAGCCCGCGACTCGCGTGTGTTGAAATCACCATTTGTGCTACATGGAGGTCAGCGCAAAGTATTACACAAAAGTGACAAGTTTGCCACACTGTAGACCTTCATCGACTAAGTTAGCTGAGACATGTATTAGATATACCGGTTAACTCACCAATGAAGGGCGACCCATTGTAGCTAGTGTAAGACTAGATAAGACTGAGAATGATCACAGCAAGATAGGAATATAATCTGTGAAGCCATCGACTGTCAGTTTGAGTTACACAAAGAAATCTAGACTTTCTTGTCTGGCGTTTAGGAGGCGACCGAAAACGACTGCTGGGGACTTCGGGTGATATGCATGCCAAAAGCTTCATCATAGTCCTAAAAAAGCATTCACAATACATTTTAAACGGAATTCCAGTATTTCTACCGTAATAAATTCTTTTTCTTGCATCGGTTTTTCCGTCCATCTTCTAAACACGGTGCGTCGTTGGGCGTATACTTTAAATGTGTGCGTCGAGAGAGAGAGAGAGACTGTAACTCAGGTATTTACGATTATCTTTAGTTTTAGGAGTTGGACAGTTTAACTGTCATCATTCTAAGCAACATTTTTATGGTAAAACTTAGAAAATGACATTTACGAATCTTTCCATATGCGACAGATGACAACCAAGTCACATACAACCTTATCTCGTCAACAGATTGACTGCTCTGCTACGTTCGAGGAAACTACAACAAGACACGCCTCTTTTTGAAAGTGAGGAGATCGAAATAAACTCAATAGCCATGCCTATTCCCATGCAATCAGTAATGATCCAAGCACTGCGTGACAGCTGATGGTACCACCTGACTACCAAACCTAGGTAGGTAAAGTGGGGTTTGAGCTAGTGACCCCACAGTCGAAAAATCTGAACGCGCGACTAGTTGACCCGTGTCCAGATCTACAATAGAACAACACCAGTGCTCTCAAAACTGTAAGTCATGCCTTGCCGTTGAGTACTAGAAAACGGGAAACTTATGTTTAGGGCCACTTGCTGACTGCTTACAACAGCTCAACACTCATCAGTGTACTAGTCACACATCGCAAAAAAATGACCAAAGGTTTCTTTCTTTATGCCTAGTCATCACATTCAGGGGTTAGAAATGCCAGCTTTAGTGCAGTTTTGATTATGACCAAAAGGTTGACAGATTTAGGACAAAATAAAACTCAAATATGTTTGTGTATAGAATATGTTACAGGTATAAATAAATATATGTTCTGTAATTGAACAGAAAGGTTAACTGAGCACAGTTATGAGGGCAGTCAAACAAAAAGCATCAGTCAACACCAAGCATTCATTTTGAACATCAGAAAAGAATTTACAATATTAAACAACTTTATTATGCAAAAATAAGTGTTAAAATAAATATGTACACACAAAATTTGAGTACATGGTTATCTAAACATGGTTCACTGTTAAGTAGTATCATCAGTATTAATTGAATTGTCCTGTATGATACACGAAGGTATACCATTAAACCACTCCACAGAAGCAATAAAACATCACACTAATCCATCTCAATTGACTGAAACTATGTTTCTTCCGACTGCCGAATCAACACCATTCGAAACTAAGCCCTCAATCTATCACTCAAGACATAAGTGATTGAGGTTTGCCTTCAAGCAACTGCAGTCTGACACTGACATTAAAGACTACATATCGTTTCAGTTCAGTTAACTACCCCATTGACGAGTACATAAAGATGTGGACACCTTGAGCTCATCATGTTAGTCATCACTCTATGTTACTAGACCAAAGGTGACTAACACGCCATCGAAACCTCTACAAATAGTGTCTTGCGTTCAAATTGCATAAATATCTGCTAATTATGCAAAACACTTTCTTGGAAAATTAATTGGCGTAAACAAAAAAAGTGCACTGCCGATCACTCTACAACAAAAATAAGATTGACTTATAATTACGAACACTTAATGCCCACTGGTTAAGACAAATTCCTTAGTAATAAGGGGCAGTGGGGAAATCAAATGCAATTGTGACGTAGACTTCTCGACAGAAACTGAGAAACTGGCAAGCCTGAAACATAACCCGGAAAATTTACTGAATGTAACGCTTAAAACCGACAAAACGTGGTGTAATACGCACAGGTGTAGGAAATAAAATATGGTGCCTCATAACACACTGAACTACGACAGAGTTATGACCCAGTTCAAAAAAACGTAACAAACAATTAGGAAGAAACAAGAACCAAAGAGACAACAACAACTGCCCACTCAGTTTAGACACCTCGCTAAAGTCACTAAAATCACGTAAACGGCATCAATGCCCAATCAGCTGACCACACATCACCGTCAAGGAACTACAGACCTCAACTATCTCACAAACCAAAATCAACAGAAATCCTCATGTCCCCTTGAAGAGCATCGAAGGCTGTCATGCAGTGGGAACCAATCTCCTCCTGCAGGATCATGACAACAAGATTCAAATCAAAAGGAAGGAAAATCACAGTCATACAATATACTGGGCTGCGCACCTACAAATAATGCAGATCAAAAGAAGAAGGAGGAATTCTACAGACAACTGCAATCACTACTGGACAAGACCCTATCCGAGTTGGCGACATCGAAATTCTAATGGGTGGGGTGACATGAATGCCAAACTGGGAGCGGACAACACAGGAAGAGAAGTGATCATGGGTCGAGAGGCACTCGTTTGTGAAATGAACGAGAGAACTGGAGAACTGTTTGCAGACTTCTGAGCATTCAACGATTTGGTGATTGGAGGCAGTGTGTACAAATACAAGGATATTCACAAAACGACATGTATTTGATTTCACCAGATGGACACACTACACTACACTAAAAATCAGATTGACTTCATCTCAATATGAAGAAAGTGGAGACGCAGCCAGCCTAGTGGACACAAGATCAGATAAAGAAGGGGAGCAGATGTAGGTTCAGACCATTCACTGTCTAGTGCAAGGAACCCTCAAAATCAAGTTGAAAGCCTCCAAAGAAGCTGATGATAGACCAGAGTTCAAGTTGAACACCCAGAAAAGTAACTGAAGGACGAGACTACAAACCACATCTTCACATCAGTCATCAGGAAAGAATGGGAGACATTAGGCAACATCGCTGTGGAAACCTGTGTGGAAGAACACTGGAATTCTTTGAAAGAGACGTGGAAAGATGCCTGCATGACTGTATTAGGAAGGAAGAAGAAGAAGAAGCAAGACAAGGAATGGATCTCGACGGACACATGGAAGCTGATAGAGGAGAGGAGGATGGTGAAGCAGAAGATGAACCAGTTCAGTGCAGGGATGAACAACGAAGAGAGAAACTGAGTACAACGTATAAAACACTGGACAAAGAAGTGAAGAAGAGTGCGCGGAAAGACAAGAGACACTTCTACGACACATTGGTGAGCGAAGGAGAACAGGCTGCTAGTAGGAGAGACCTGACAACATTATATCAAATAACCAGGTTACTATCTGGGAAGAGATCAACACAGATGAAACCAATGAAAGATAGTCAAGGAAACTTGGTTACCAAAGCGGAGAAACAAAGGAAACGATGGGTTGACCACTTCAAAAAAAACTCTTGAGTAGACCACCACCACCACCACCACCTGCAACTCGTCCAGAAATACTACCAACAGCCAGCTACAGAACCATTAGTGAACACAAGCCCTCCGCCAAAAGCAGAAGTCCTGAACGCCATAAAGTTACTGAAAGCCGGAAAATCAGCAGGACCAGATGGAATTCCTCCAGAAGCACTGATAGCAGACTCAGAGATATCAGCAGCGGATATGCTCACACCACTAGTGCAGAAGGTTTGGAAGGAAGGAAGAAAAGGTACCTGCCGGTTGGAAGAAGGGCTTCCTTATCAAACTTCCAAAGAGGGGCGACCTAAGTCTTTGCAAGAACTGGTGCGGAATCATGCTCCTGTCCACCCAAAGCGAGCAAAATATTATGCCCCATCATACTGGAGAGACTAAAAAATGCTCTGGATTGAAAATTATCACCGGAACAGGCTGGCTGGCTGGCTGGTTGGCTTCAGGAAGAACAAATCATTTGCAGATCAAATTACAACGCTATGCTGTGCATCATCATAGAACGGAGCATAGAATGGCAGTCAACTGAATCTCTACCTCAACTTCATCGATTTGGAAAGGCCTTCGACAGCGTCGATCGAGAAGTAATTGGGGAACTGCTTCAATACTACGAATTACCACAAACCTTTATCAATCTCATTCAACAACTATATGAAGACGCCGCAGGCCAAGTAATTCACAATGGGAAGCTCAGTGATGCCTTTGAAGTGAAGACAGGAGTAAAACAAGGCTGCCTACTATCACCCATGATATTCCTGATTGTGGTCGACTCGACTGGACTGGATCATGCAACAAACTGTGAAGAGCTGTGAGAATATGGGCATACGCTGTCTGACCGATGAAAAGAGCCTAGAAGATTTGGATTTCGCCAACGATGATGATTTATGTCTAATGTCTTGTGGCACAAACTCGAAGATCTACAGGCCAAAAACAACAAGTTGACAGAGGAGGTAGAGCAGCGAAGACGGGACTTCAAGTGAACGTAGAGAAGACAGGGGTGATTAAGGTGCCCAACCAACACCACCAACACCAACAACAACAACAAGCTCCAACCACCATAAACAGAAGAAACTTGAAGGAAGTAGCCTCTTTCACCTACACCTATCTAGGCAGCATCGTTTCAACTACAGGCGGCACAAGCACAAATAAGAATATCAAAGCCAGGATTGGAAAAGCAAGACAGGCGTTCATTAACCCTAAACCAGTGTGGAGATCTTCTGCACTCAACATAAAGAACAAGATCCCGATTTCCAACACTAATTCAATCAAGTCAGTGCTTCTTATGTGATGGTTGAGAGACTTAGCGTGTTACGAAAAGCATTTCCAACAAACTACAGACATTCATCAACAACTGCCTACGCTGGCTCGTTACTCCAGCTCAGATGGCCAGAATAATAAGAATAAGCAACAAGGAACTATGGCTGGCTGGCAACGAACCAACCAAGCACCTATCGCTCAACAAATATGCAGAAGGAAGTGGAGATGGATTGGGTATACACTGAGAAGACCATTAGGGGACATCACCCGCCAGGTCAGGCACTTGAGTGGAACCCAGATAGGAAACGACGAGTTGTGTGTCCAAGGGTGATATGGAAGAGATTATGTGAGGAAAAAATGAAAGCCTCTGGGCTGTCGTGGAGCCAGGTTCAAGAGATTGCAGAGAAGAGAGTGAAATAGTGACGGGCTACTGAAGCCCTATGTTCCACTAGGAACCCAAGGGACAAATTATATATATAGATATATGGGCCAGAGAGGTAAAGACTAAACTGTTCCACTGATGAAAAACGATAATATTTAGCTATAATTTTTCAATACTCCAGTGACCTGTTCGAATATTATTCGGTGAGTTCAGGTGGTCCGTACCGCATGAACGTGGAAAACACAAAGGTAGAAAAACTCTTCTAGAAAATTGCAAACACCCAACACAATTTGATGATATATATATATATATATATATATATATATATATATATATATATATATATATATATATATAATGGACGTGGTGTAGTGGTAGTGTTTGAGCCAGTGAGTGGGAAAGACAAATCGCAATTTTAACGTAATTTTTACATTTTTAGCTTTTATATGTAGGGGGTTGATGGAAGCGGTTAGCTATCAGATGAATGTGAAAGGTAATGAAGAAAGACTATCCCACTTACCGATAGACAATACTTCATCATTAGGCAATACTGGATATAATAAGTCATGTGAATCAGTTTTCCAAGCCATACCATGAAACGCCTCGCGTAAATTAGACGGTTTCTATCCAGATAGATTTTTTAAAATATTATTTTATGAGGAAAAAAGTACTTGAATTATCAACCAAGCTGATTGAACTTTTAAAGTATGCATGATAATTATTTAGTTGGACATTATTTCAAACCATCATAATTTAAAAGCGTCAGTTACTTAGCTCAAAGTAAAAAATCACCAGGTGGTGAAAGCTTCTCGATCACCTGCTTTGAGAATAGCCTACAATAGTAGATGATACAAACAATGAGTTGAAATCCTGAAGACCTAGCTCTCTAAATCGCTGAGAAGAAAACTCTTTGCAGCCAAGTTACACGTCACCTACTCCAATCGGCAAGTAATTCCTGGGTGTATTAGGGAAAAGCTACCGCTTTGGGCCACCTCGATGTCTGTCTACAAGTTCACTAGCTCCTGCGGGTCTACTTACATTGGTCGAACGCAGCATGCACTTCCCAGACATATCCAAGCATTACCCTGCATGGCTGCCAACAAAAGGAGAATGTGAATCCATCACTTAGTTCGATTCTTGACTGTCTAGTCCATTCTGATGCTTAGCTCCATCACAGCCTGCCTTCGAGATTAACTAAATAGTCAAAGCAAACAGTTCAAAAGGAATACGACTCGATATATTATGCAGGGCGGGAACGCTGACACTTCATCGATTCATCAGGTCCGACCTCCTTGTGCAGAAGTAGGCTGAATCCCTCTCTTTTTTAACTATGGTTCTGTAATGTGTAGTTGCGTAAATTCCTCTTACCTTTAGAATCTTTTTATGATACTACCTGGCTGCAAAGTCTCGATAGGTGGAGCGGGGCTCAAACCCATGACCCATCAGTTGGAAGTTGAGTAATGCATAAATGCGTTGAACACTGTAGCCAACCAAGAATTTTAACCTGTGATTCCGAGATGCTGTTAAATAAGAAACTATGAAAAAATAATGTTGTATCACTCCACTTAGTCACTGATCACATGGATTAAGGAATCAAAACTTCAACAAACTTCACGCGATTCAGAAATCCGGTCATTAGCTACTTATGGTTGCTGAATTCGAAGCAGATCGAGAAACGTTAGGACCCGGGACCAAAAAGTGGTACACTGAGTATCTAAACCGATGACCAACAGCTCAAAAAGGTGAATAAGTCACTTATTAGACTGCAACTTATCAACGATGTAGCGGTTTCTGTAACGTGTTGCAAACCATGTCGATTGTGAGAAAGTGAATAATGTGACCAGGTTCGAAATCATGATCCACTGGATGAAAGGTGGAGGCCAAAATCAGAACGACGGATGATCACCAAATTTAATTATTCATATATATATCATATGTACTGTTTGTTCTTTGGGTTCCAAGTGGAACATAGGGCTTCAGTTCCACGTCGCCATTTCACTTTCTTATCTGCAGTCGTTTTAACACGGCTCCATGACTGCCGAAAAGCTTTCATTTCTTCTTCACATAATCTCCTCCATGTCACCTTCAGACACCCAACTCATAATTTCCCATTTGGCTCCCACTCGACGGCTTGGCTCGGTGCGTGATGTCCATAAATGGTCTTCTCGGTATATGCCCAATCCATCTCCACTTCCTTCTGCATATTTGTTGAGCGACAGGTTCTTGGTTGGTTCGTTGCCAGCCAGCCAGAGTTCCTCGTTGCTTATTCCTTCTGGCCATCTGATCTGATCTTCAGTATCGAGTGAGAGTGGACGGTGGCTAATGATGCATGTCTGTAGTTCGCTGGAAATGCTTTTCGTAACGCATCAAGTCTCACAACCATATAGAAGCATTGACTTGACTGAATTAGTGTTGAAAATCCGGATCTTGTCTTTTATATTGAGTGCAGTGCGGTAGATTTCCACACTGATTTCACATCAATGAAGGCCTGTCTTGTTGTCTTTCCGATCCTCGCTATGATATCGTCATCTGTCCCTGTGCCGCAAGTAGTTGAGACGATTCTGCCTAGGTAGGTGGGTGGAAGATACAACTTCCTTTAGATCTCTTCCGTCCACGGTGCTTGTTGTTGTTGTTGGTTGGGCACCTTAATCACCTCTGTCTTCTTTACGTTCACCTGAAGGGAGTCCCGTCTTAGCTGCCCTATTTCTTCAGTCAACATAATGGATTTTGCAAGTAAATCTTCGGGTTTGTGCTACAACACATCAGACATAAATCATCACCAGCGACATTCAAATCTCCTGAAGTCCTTTCATCGGACAGACAGCGTATGCCCATATTCTCACAGCTCTTCACAGTTTGTTGCATGATCCAGTCCAGTCGAGTCGACCACAATCAGGAATATCATGGGTGATAGTAGGCAGCCTTGTTTTACTCCTGTCTTCACTTCAAAGGCATCACTGAGCTTCCCATTGTGAAACACCTGGTATGTAGCATCCTCATATAGCATATAGCGGTCAAATTACATCTCGGTTGACGCGATCAAAGGCCTTTCCAAATCGATGAAGTTGAGGTAGAGATTCAGTTGACTGCCATTCTATGCTCCGTTCTATGATGATGCACAGCATAGCGTTGTAATTTGATCTGCAAATGATTTGTTCTTCCTGAAGCCAGCCAGCCAGCCAGCCAGCCTGTTCCGGTGATAATTTTCAATCCAGAGCATTTTTTAGTCTCTCCAGTATGATGGGGCATAATATTTTGCTCGCTTTGGGTGGACAGGAGCATGATTCCGCACCAGTTCTTGCAAAGACTTAGGTCGCCCCTCTTTGGAAGTTTGATAAGGAAGCCCTTCTTCCAACCGGCAGGTACCTTTTCTTCCTTCCTTCCAAACCTTCTGCACTAGTGGTGTGAGCATATCCGCTGCTGATATCTCTGAGTCTGCTATCAGTGCTTCTGGAGGAATTCCATCTGGTCCTGCTGATTTTCCGGCTTTCAGTAACTTTATGGCGTTCAGGACTTCTGCTTTTGGCGGAGGGCTTGTGTTCACTAATGGTTCTGTAGCTGGCTGTTGGTAGTATTTCTGGACGAGTTGCAGGTGGTGGTGGTGGTGGTGGTCTACTCAAGAGTTTTTTTTGAAGTGGTCAACCCATCGTTTCCTTTGTTTCTCCGCTTTGGTAACCAAGTTTCCTTGACTATCTTTCATTGGTTTCATCTGTGTTGATCTCTTCCCAGATAGTAACCTGGTTATTTGATATAATGTTGTCAGGTCTCTCCTACTAGCAGCCTGTTCTCCTTCGCTCACCAATGTGTCGTAGAAGTGTCTCTTGTCTTTCCGCGCACTCTTCTTCACTTCTTTGTCCAGTGTTTTATACGTTGTACTCAGTTTCTCTCTTCGTTGTTCATCCCTGCACTGAACTGGTTCATCTTCTGCTTCACCATCCTCCTCTCCTCTATCAGCTTCCATGTGTCCGTCGAGATCCATTCCTTGTCTTGCTTCTTCTTCTTCTTCCTTCCTAATACAGTCATGCAGGCATCTTTCCACGTCCCTTTCAAAGAATTCCAGTGTTCTTCCACACAGGTTTCCACAGCGATGTTGCCTAATGTCTCCCATTCTTGTCTGTAGAATTCCTCCTTCTTTTTATGGTCCGCATTACTTGTAGGTGCGCAGCCCAGTATATTGTATGACTGTGATTTTCCTTCCTTTTGATTTGAATCTTGTTGTCATGATCCTACAGGAGGAGATTGGTTCCCACTGCATGACAGCCTTCGATGCTCTTCAAGGGGACATCATGATAACCACTCCAAAACTCGGTGTGCTCGTGGTTGTCGTCTGGGTGACAATATCGGAGTAGGTTATTGACTCTCCAGTTGACAGTTTGGAGAGTCCACTTCCATTCCATCTGCTTTCGCAGATTCCTAGCACTTCTATGCCTTATTTTCTCATATCTTTTGCAATCTGGGTAGCCTTGTTAGCCAGCTTCAAACATTGTGCAGACATTCCATGTCCCCATTCTTCCTTTCACTTTCATCGAGAGAAGCAGAGACACATCGGCCAATTGGCTTCTCGAAAACTTTCACCAACTGGTGTGATTTCGTCTCTCCGATTCCAGCGAGGAATAAGTTCATTTTTATTTTTTGTGTTTTGAGGTTTCTTTAGCGATTGAATTGGTTTTACGGGTTAGGGTTGCTTGCCCTATGCCCAACCTTCCATCTTTTTCCGGGCTTAGGATCGGCCAGTAAAGTAATGGACTAGGCGATATATATATATATATATATATATATATATATATATATATATATATGTTTATATATATATATGTATATATATATATATATATATATATGTATATATATATATATATATATGTATATATATATATATATATATATATATATATATATTGGTTTGAAGTAATGGGTCCCAGGTTTGATCATCACCCAGTTTTCTTTGGCCTTGACTACTGGGTAGTATCATAACCGCTTAAGCGAGAAGCGTAGCTCACAGCTTAGTACATAAACATTTACTGAGTTGTGTCGGACAGCATCAATATACAGATAAATAGTCAAGCTGAAATGATTTAAAGTATAAATCGAAATATTTACATTTTTTCTAACATGATTTACAAATCGAATCCAGTTGAATTGGTCACTGAACACTGAATAATGCTGTTCATCCAGAAAGTTTACACAGTCATGTTCTACTACCAGGTGCGTTAAGAATTTAAGCGTTGAATCCAATGTACGAGAGCACATTAAACATACATAACTGGTAGTAAATGTATTAGACAAAGAGATTGTACTACTGGTCTCATGAACTCCTAGACTTGATTTATTTACAATTGTTGTTATTTGAAGACTAAGAATATCTTCATGAATAGAGAGAGAGAAAAATGGAAGGAACAAAATCAACTATAAATTTGCCAAAAGGCATCATACGTTATATCATGTCGTAGTTTGTTACGCACAACCATGAAGCAGTCGGTTTAGGTGGTCAACTTCAAACCACTGGGTTACAGGTTTGAACACCACTCCACCTACAAGAATACAAGCAACTAACTAAGCAGTATCATAAGCCTATATATAACACATGTGGCATATTGCTTAGTATAAATCTACACACAGTTGTTATTTTTTGCAGCAGATTTTCAACAGTACAACTGCAAATTATGCACAAAGTAACATAACATTGGTAATTCACCACCTGGATGGAGAGATAAATGCTTTTCATGGAAGGTTTCTCCTACAAATAGACTCTGACTGATTTCTGAGTATTATTCAACAAACAATCAAAATTTATGCAATGAATGGCGGACGCGGAAGTGTGCTTTATTGGTCTGAGCTGGTTTGGACCTTCTTTCAGATGATTTAGTAGTCACGTTGTATTATTATTAGGATTCAACTAAGGCCTGAAATATGAACTGCTAATAACTAACCACCTTGATAACTAACAACCATTAAGTCTTTGAAGGTTCAAAGTTTAACCACCATTAGTGATGAATGGCAAGAGTTGATAACTTCTAGAACTGAATATGAAAATAGAAAGAAAATCTAAGTCTTATTATACCATGTGCACTACTAAATGTGAAACAGTTTGCCGTTGAAAATTTGTCGATAAACGGGATTTCTTATCCGACTGATTGGTTTGTGGACAGCCAGTTGATTTGAAAGCACATTTCATAACAGAGGTGAGAAAATATGAACCACTGGATTCCAAGTGAGCGACTGAGTGATAACACGATCGTCATGAAACTGATTATTTTTGGATCCAACTCCCCTGAGATGCTGGGTGCACAACATTGGGCAGATCCAAACTAGGATGAAACAGTTGACACTTCAGCTGATGTCAATCTTTAGTGAAAACTACTTTCATGCTGAACTTATAGAATTAATATTTACTTGCCACTTTCTAGGGTGAAGACAATTAAGATAATTAGAGCAAAACTGATTGGGAAGACTTTCCATAGCTTACAGAATTCCATGAAGATATATTTACTAACGCCTTTTACTGGCCCTAATACAGCACTTTCACTCAATGGGCTATGAAGTTTTAAATCTAGTTTACACAAGCCAGGTAGTCAGCCCCTGGTGTTGATATTAGAGAAAAATCAGTATAACAAGTAGGTCTTCATTTACTGACCACGTTTCAGACACTTCAAGACACTTACTAATAGACAATACTTCATCATCAGGTAAGACTGGGTAGAGTAGTTCTAAAGAGTTTGTTTTCCAAAGACGATCATAAAATGCTTGTCGCAAGTTACATGGTTGCTGGAAACAAAAACAAATATTTAAAGGTAACAACAAGACAAACTGTGAGGAAATACGAATTTCCACAGGCCTATTAGTGTGATTGAGAGAGTATGAATATTTTAACCGTAAATTAGAATTTTCATAAACGGTTTGAAGAAGTATAACCGGTTCGTGACTGATACACAAAGTAATTGGGCAACAATACGCTACACCTATTATGAGGGGGTTAGTGGTACTACCTGACTGCCCGAACCTCAGTAGATGGGGCGGTGTTCAAACTCATGGCCCACTGGCTGAAAATCGACCTCCAAGGTTGACGATACACAGCTCCAACTTAACACAAGCCTACGTAGTCTGCATGATTCGACAGTAGTTACGGCGTAATTATTTGTAATATTGTTTATCAGTTATCCAGTTAATAAAGAGAACTTTTTCTGGACTTTTGTCTGTAGAATATGACAGTACAGCAATGTGATGAGCAGCCGGTAAACGTAAAATGCAAATTAGCAACTGAATTTCAAAAAATTATCAAGATCACTTCATATAACCACCGGAAAAAGTCATTATTAGAAACTAATTGAGACCGTCTTCATATAAGAAACATTTGCATATTGAACTATGAGCATCCGAGAGTAGGCCTTTAAATACAGCTTTTTCTCTTGCAAGTCATTTATGATTTATCCATTGCTCATGAATCAGCTTACTGACAGTATATTAGCACATGCACAGATCACATCATTTCAAGTTCCTTAACCTTTGCAACCCAAACACACACGATACCATCCAAGATAGTTACCTAAATCCTGGTTAGATCGGTTTATGAACATCAGACATTAAATATAGTGGTACAGAAGAAAATATTTTAAATGTCAGCTCACATTTCTCCGCACGTAATTTATGAAACGAATCCAGTCAAACTGAGTGCTGATCATTGTTTGACCCTCTCCATGCAAAAAATCCACGCAGCCATGCTGTAAAGTGAGGTGTTTGAAGAATTTTTCTTTGGAATCGAGGGAATTTACACAGACTAGGCAGATGTATTTTTCAGATGGTCTAGAGAATACTAAGACAGTTTCTTCCCTCTTTGCAGAATTCATATTGGAAAAGGTATCCACAGTTTTAGAAGTCATCTGGAATTAAAATTACATTTGGTAAGTGAACCGCCATAAAGTTTTAAAATTCCACGGCCTGAAGCCGAAATTGAGACCCATTTGCGAATTAACTATCTAGATAAAAGACCAACTGTTGATGAATTTAAGATGGATGCAGGATATGAGACCTAGACCAGAGTAAAAACTAAACCCTTTCTAGAATTAGGTTGTACAGATAGCCCATTGGGTTGGGCACTCACCTCCCAACTAGTAATCCATGGGATCGGATACCGTACCACTCTTTGAGACTTGGACAGCCGTAAATTATCAGCAACGCCCATTATATATATATATATATATATATATATATATATATATATATATATATATATATGACAGCCCAGTGCATAACCTCAATAGGTAACATGGTTGGTCTATACGGTTACTACATGGGACTGATCAGCAATTGGAATCTACAATTACTCACAGAGATGCAAACTCTTAACAAATCAACACCAGATGTAAGCACAGTAAACGAAGTAAACTGTAAGTGGACCGGAATACTAAGTAATCATAAATAAATATAGGCATGTCACATAAGGATCTGATACATGGAGTCATGACTAGCAAGTTTCGAGTTACTTGACATTGATGTATGTAGAGGTAATGCACAGCAGTAACTATTCTCCCCTCTCTCTCCCATCGTATTACCTTTTTCTTGACGAATAAAAATACATTTTAGTAACAGCGTTTTCAGAGGTACGTATAATAGGTGCATAATATGTTAACGTGAATCGTTTTGAAAAGTGAATGAAGCTAAGCAGATACATGAGTGACTGAATATGACTACAAACGAAATCATCTATTCCGCTGTGCCACATTACAAGAGGACTTGTTGTTTGACTGACCGTTGTGGATAGATTAGAACTAAAACCTGAAACCTAATAGCATGTAAATATATCAGCTACAAGTCCACCAGTCACATATCCACGTTAGCTGATTAAACGCCAGCAACCGCACTTTTGGAGTCATAAATCCTCATTACACTTCAAATTTAGAGGCTGGCAAAACAGTAGTCCGACGCTAGTACGCAGACTAAAACCTTCTACCCACCGACCCAAAACACAACAGACTTACCAAAGTTCTGAATATCATATCGTATTGGTGAAGCTTACTTAGAGTAAGTGGTAAGTTTCTGTCCATACAAACAAGCTGAAAACATGAGAAACGCCCACTAAATATCTCGTGAGGAAACGTCCGTAACAATCACAGAACTATCACAATCTAAAGGAAACTGTTTGTGATGTAAACGCCATTACGAAAGTAGTTGTGAACGTCGAATAATTCTGTTGTCCATAGCCAAGAGAGTAAGAGGAAATGAATACATTTGAACTACTCAACAAACGCAAAAAGCTGTTGGCAATTGTTAACGAAATTAAGAGACAGTGAGACAAAACAGTGAAATAATACCAACCTGAAAATAATTCAAAAGGCAACTTCCTTTAACATATATGTGTATTACTAAGGCCTGGTAGTACACTATTCACTGGAATTTAGGTCAGTGTGTAAAATAACAACTTCTACTATATCACGGAGGCTTAAATTTTCCGTTTTCAATACAAGAACACTCCCTTTGTCTGAAACTGTAAGAGACATATCATTAACATACTGTAAGCGATTTCAATTTCAGGGGGACGTCTTTCTGATAGCACACAAATCTTTGTGGAAAGACTAGCATTAGATAATCTCCACCTTGGTTCACTAATTATGAAACAGAAGCGTCTTTAAAGTGTAACATCATACATGATAACAAACCTGATGGACTCTGTTTTTTCTAATAACGGATTAAAACTAAACGATATTCTTTTGATTCCCTTAAGATTGATTTGTTTAAGAAGATCTCTTGAGACTCTACTGTCATCTATCGCGATTGGAGTCCGGAAATATTTAATAGAACGTGGCAGCCGCCAACATTTCCTGAAAGTCATTTCAACTTGTCTAACCGCTTCGAGGTTACTCCAATATCCAATATTTTTTAACGAGCTAGTGTAAGCCAATTGATTTCTTCGCGCTCACTTCTAGGTCTTGCGAAACGGTTCCAGGTCCTTGGCGAATTCCGAATGCAGTAGATCCAGCTACTCGACCGCTGTAGCTCTGGTTAGCTCGACGGGCGGTTGGGTGTTGGTTAGATTTGTAGGGAGTGTTGTTTGTTTGTTTGCTTTTTCTTCCGAGGACTGTGGTGCATATGGGTTCCTCAAATGTCGTGCCAGCAGACAATTGGTCGGACTGGTTGTAAAAAGGAGATGAAAAATGTGTGCAGAGAAATCAAGGGAGAGGAGGTGCAGAGAGACAAAATAGAAAAAGAAAAGGAAAAGGGGGGGGGAAACAATATGTAAAAAAAGACTAGGAAAAGGGAAACGGCACGGAAGAAGAAACACTGGTAGGTTCATAGGGAATAGGTGATAGGGAGAGCTTTTATCAAAGTTTGAGAAAGTAAAGTCATAGGGAAGAAGAATAAAAACATTATGGAGCAAATGGGAATATAGTAATTCTTTTAGTAGGAGACGGTAACTGGAGAGGACGTCTACAGGAAGGTGTAAGGCGGGGCCAAGTTAGCAGTGATAGCGGTTTACAAAATGTTCAGTAACGTTTGGTCGTACCAAGTTAGTAGGTCGTGTCAGCCTAGTCCACATCCCAGTTGGATGAGCGCAAACCGTGCGTCGCTGCGTAACTGTCCAACCTCTTCTTAAAGCTGTCGACAGACGGGGCAGTAGCAATCTCGGCAGGCAATGCGTTCCAGTGGCCACAAACTCGCAGAGAGAAGAAGTGTGATTGCACACAAGTTTCTCCCCATCGGTGGGCAGTTCCCCTTGGGTTACCACGAGGATAGCCATAGTAGCCGTTCCGTTGGATTCTGCTGTCCAGATGGTTTAGGTTACTTAGTATTTTGCAAGCCGTTATCAAGTCACCACGTAATCTACGGTAGTTTAGAGAGTAGAGCCCCAGATCGTTCAGCCTGTCCTGATATGGTTTTCGCCTCATTCCCACGACACCCTTTTTAGCTCGCCTTTAAACTTTCTCTTGGAAGTTCATGTCCCTTTTCAGATATGGTGGTGTAATGACGTTTTTTACCTCTTATACAGCTTCAAAAGGAGTTCTGCGGTCAAAACATCCAGTTGTCTGCATATGAAGTGCAGTACTGCGTAGGCTCTGGGAGCATCTCCTGGATAATTATGGCTAGGGTCTAGTTGCTCAGTTAATATTAGTCCTAGGTCTTTCTGCGAGGTATTCAGGGAAAGCTGTGTTCCACAGAGAGAGTAGGCAACCATCTGAGGTTCTGAGGTGCGGAGAAATATGGCTCAGCATTTATCTACGTTAAATGCTAGTCTATTAAAATCCACCCACTCTGCCTGTAATCTGAGGTCACTTTGCAGTGCAGTTGATTCTGTTTCCGACGTCACAGATCTCCCTAACTTAACATCATTAGCGTAAAAGAGAATTGGGCAGCTGAGATTCAGTGAGAGTTGTCACTGAAAATCGATCTGAAAATCCCTCCCGATCACCCTTATTTGGTTGTATTGACATTTATTTGAATATTTTCGCCCTCGTCATGGATGGTGTACCTTTGACCCTAGCCGGTGTAATGTTATTCGCTTGTTTGACTGTCTTATTTGACTTTGCACTCAGTACTTGCCGTTGTATGTTTGAGACTTGTTATGAATGTTTCACTTTCCTATTATGTGACGCTGGACCGTTTACAAGGTGATGTTGTTTTGCTGCGCCCGACATTTTGTTTTGGTTCAACTTACGGTTGTGCAGTGATTTGACTGTTTGTCTTTTGACAGTCTACTGGGAACGTTTGTTTGTTGATTTGATTCTGGTAGGCAGAGCTTTGATCCCTTTTGTCGGGAATATTCCTATCGACCGGCAGGTACTTAACAGTTGTATTTGTTTAACCAGTTTTTACCGTGCAGTACGTATTTGCACCCGAGAACGTTTTGGACTGTATAGTTACCCAACGGCATTGTTGAGGTATTTTTGTAATTTTGACATGACTTATTGTTGCTTTGATAGTACCACAAATTTCGTGACGAATCTATTATTGAGTTACTACGAACCGTGTTTTGATATTTTGATCCAGAACGCAGGAACTAGTCAGATTCACGTCAGTTGGCACCGCCTAGTTATTTCCCGCTTTCAGGCCAAGATTATTGGATTCTGGCCGCTACAGTACTCAACAACCCGTCACTGCTGTACCTGGCAATCGCAAGGTGTTCTTTGAGTCTATCCCTGACGGAGAAGGCGACATGTCCATGGATCCAACCTCAGATACCAAGCAAGTCCCTCTTGATGTTATTTCATGCCGTGGCTCTGATAATGGTACAGTTATTGACTATAGTAAGACTAGTCCTTGTAGGACCTCTGCTCAGTTGAAGGTACGACAGTTGGATGAAAGGCAAGAGTTGGAACTTCGTGAATTCAAGGCTAAACAAAGACAGGAAAGGTTGCGTCTGCATAAAGAACTCAACTTAGATGTGAATGGGGGTTTAGGTGATACCTTTTCCTTGGATGATGATATAAAGTGTCACAAATCAGTTTGTCTTGGCATTGACCCTCATAGCAGTTCTGATCGTGAAACGACTAGCCAGGGGAGCAGCGCAGAAAACAAAGGGGTTGCCGCTACGTTGCCTTGTGTCAATGTTGGCCATGAGTTGCCGAAAGTAGAATTAAGCAGCTTTGACGGACATCCAGCCAAATATTGGAAGTTTATGAGGCAGTTTGAGCTCTACGTTGTCTCTAAGGTTGATGATGATGGACAGAGGCTGTTATACTTGTTACATTACTGTAAAGGTAAGGCCAGGGAGGCTATAGAGGAATGCATTATGTTACCACCATCTGCTGGTTATCGTAGGGCTCGGGATATACTCAAGCGTTTGTTTGGAAGGACTCATGAAGTCAGCCGGGCCTTACTACAGGATCTGATGGAATGCTCGAACATAGAACAAAACGATGCTGAGGCAATGTCGAGGTTAGCTATAAAAATGGAAAACTGCGCTATAGCCCTAGAGCAAATGGACTATACTGCGGACCTTAACTCCTTGAGAACTTTAGAAGGTATAGTAAAGAAATTGCCCCGTGTGTTACAGATGAAATGGGCGGAGACTGTCGAAAAGCTAACTGAAACCGAACGAGAACCTACCTTCGCAGAGTTAACGCAGTTTGTGTCAGCACGTGCGAGCATTTTGCTAAGTAGGTTTGGACAGCTGGCAACAAGCAGTCGACGACCAGATAGTAAAATAGCATGTTCCACGCAGCAGCTAGTACCCGTTGGGGGAGTCCTGAAACCTTCATGTATATTTTGTGGAGGGAACCATGTAGTCACAAAATGTACCACATTTCTGTCGTTACCGGTGGATGAGAGATGGTCGAAGGCTAAAGAAACAGGTTGTTGTTTTTCATGTCTTAAAAGGGGCCACAGGTCCGTAGAATGTAAAATTCACAGGGTGTGCAGTGTAGAAGGTTGTAAAGCATACCATCACCCTCTGTTACACAAGAAGACCCACCACGCCGTAGGCGAACAACCGGAGAAAGGTAGTTGTGGATGCACTGAGTCTCTCAGAGAAAGCGTGTGTTTGGGCCTACTCCCGGTACGTGTAAAGCACGGTAATAAAGAGGTTTACGGTTATGCTATCTTGGACAATGGCTCTGATACAACTTTGATCACGAAAGATGTTTTGCAACTTCTAGGATTGTCGACTGACGGCACAAAGACTATCATCAAAACTGTTAGTGGAAGTAGATTGGCGGACTCAGTCAGCAAGCCTTTCGAAGTTTATTCACTAGACGGAAGCGAATGCAGTTGTGGCAAGAGATCTCCCAGTACGGAGACCTAAAGGGTCGATGCGAGAAAGTATTAAAAGGTGGCCGCATCTGACTGACGTACCCTGGACAGAGGTGGAAGACGGGGAGGTATTGCTGCTCATCGGTTGCGATGTACCTGAGGCTCACTGGGTTCTAGATCAGAAGTTAGGGGGCAGAAAGAGCCCATATGCTGTGAGATCATTGTTGGGCTGGGTCGTGTTCGGTCCGACAAGCTTTCGTGAGCACAGGGAGAGGGTTGTGAATTGTATGTCTCGGTCAGATCTATTAGTCGATCAATGGAAGAAAATTTACGATTATGAGTTCAGCGATTTGTACTCGGGAGATAAGTCGTTATCTCTCGATGACCTAGCCGCTGTAAACATAGTGCAGCGAGGTACTTATTGGGATAATGGACATTTCGTTGTCCCCTTGCCCTGGAAAATGGAGTCCAAGAGAGTATACGGTGGATGCGAAGTAGCCAGGCGACGTTTGGAGAGTTTGAAACGCAGACTAATATCCTCTGAAAGCCTTCGCGAAAGCTACACTAGCGCCATGGAAGAGACCATCAGAAAGGGATATGCAGCAGTAGCTCCTGAGCCCCAGCTTAATCCTAGCTACCGCCCACGATGGTATTTGCCGCATCATGCCGTATTTAACCCCAAGAAACCGGGGAAGGTAAGAGTTGTGCTGGACTGCGCTGCCAAACTGTCCGGAACTTCTTTAAATGACTTCCTGTATCAGGGACCAGACACGACAGCGAACTTGGTTGGAATATTATTGCGTTTTCGCAAAGAACGATTGCCCTGACGTCCGATGTGGAAGAAATGTTTATGCAGGTGAAAGTCCCAGAGTTTGACCGAGGTGCTCTGCGGTTCCTATGGTGGCCTCAGGGTGATTTCTCGAAGGAACCTATTGAATATCAAATGACGTCACACCCATTCGGTGCAGTGTCCTCACCGTTTTGTGCGTATTTTGCAATGGCCAAGACTGCCGAGACGTATGCCAACGATTATGATAGCTATGTGGTGGAAGCAGTGAAGCATAACTTTTATGTTGATG